TCTTTACCCACAAGAGAAATCCAAGGGCAGCCAGAGCCCAGGAGGAGCTGAGCTGTCTGGCCAGGCGAACCCTGCTTCCATTTGTGATGATAATGGCCTTGTTCTGGGAGTTGAGCACTGGATTTGAGCAGTGCCAAAGGGTGACAGAGCAGGTGGAGCAGAGGGCAGGGTGGTGCCCCCGCTGAGGAGAGGCTGCTCTGCACTGCAGGGACTGTGTGCTCCTCTCACCTGGGACCCAAATTGGTGTGTGAGTGGGGCTGCCATTATCCTTAGACATCCCACAGCTTCCAGAGTGAGCCTTGGAGGCATTTCCAAATCTGAAACACAGACCACTGCTCTTTCCCACAGCCCAAAGCACTGACTGTGTCCCTCTGCCTTCTCTCTGCTTTCTCCCTTTCAAAGCTGTGCCATATACCAGCCCCTGGGGGGTTCATTCTTGTCCAGTGGGATCTGGAGAAGTCCAACTCCCCCCTAGCTCATTTCAGGTAGCATTTTTGTCCAGGAGATGCTCAGAATAGGTTGAAACACACGATGCTGGGTGCAAATTGGCCCTGTGTGTTACAGCCCTAATCTGGTTAGGGGATCAGTGCAGCAGGCTGCCTCAGCCCACGTGGCTCTGCCAGTGGCTGCATCCTGGGCTGTGCCCATGCTGGGCACGTCATCAGCTGGATGTGAATTTCTGTGCTGCTCAAAAATGCCCCAAGATGGGAAAATGCAACCTGTTAAACCCTCTGTTCCCTGGGGTGTGTCTCAGGGGGTTTCTGCTGCGGAGGTTCTGTTTCCAGGTTGGCGTTGTTTTAGGGCTGTGAGGGTTGTGGTTTCCTTGTGAGCAGTGCCAGACAGGAGCCCCCAGAGGGGTCTGCCCAGTGGTGCCTCTGAGGAGTCACCAGCCCTCCAAGGAGCTGCTTGGTGGCCCTCTCTGTTTTCTCCGACACCGTTGGCCCTGCAGTTGCAATACCCTTAGGAAAAGCCAGCACCCTCTCCCTGCTGATGGGAGAAAGTCTGCTTGAGACCAGTCTGCTTCTGCTTTTGGAGGCCAGTGCTGTGTCTGCTTGCAGCTCCTTTGAGAGCAGAGGGGAAATGAAGTCCCTTGGGGCAGCAGGGTGGATCCTCAGCAGGGTTTTTGCCCTTCCCACTGAGCACAGAGTCCCGTGGTCCCCAGCAGGAGCCAAAGGGGACACAGCTGAGTTCCCACCAGTGACCCCAGTGATGGCTCACCCTGGGGCAGAGCTTCTCCCTGCCCTGCAGGGAAGCTGCAGAAATTAGATGGGAATTGCTGAGATAAGTTAAGGCTTTGCTTCAAAAACAAAAACTTTGCAGAAGCAATGGATGTTTGGGCTGAGAATGTCTTGTCTGGCAAAGTTGACCAATACAGCATTATGTCTTGTTTATACATGACAGTGGCATTTACACTCATAGAATTAATGAATCTAAACACATTTTCTTCAATTAACCCCTTAGAATGGGCTGCAGTGAGATACTGGTATCTGGTAAGAAAAATAAAAAGAAAACAAACCTAAAATAAAAAAAACCCCAACAAACTAACAAAAAACTCCAAACCAAAATAGAAAAGTGCCTTTTTTAAGATCTAGGCCCAGCATAAACATACTTCTTATTATTTTTGGAAAGCTGTTTGCAGGTGTCAGCAGCCCTGACACACAGCTGGTATTAACTTCTGGGGGCAAGAGAAAGAGAACAGGTTTAAATATAGCTCCTGGGAAATAAGCATTGGAATAACTTCCAAGATCAGTTTTACCCTACTTTGCTGCCTGGAATTTTCCCTAAAAATGCAAAAGATAAACAGTTAACCTCAGGGACCAGACACATGTGCAGAGGAGCAATTGCTTTCCTCCAGGATGGCCCCAGAGCATCCTTGTGCTTGTCCAGACAAACCTTGTGACTCTCTGGTTTCCAAAGTGGGAATTCACCATTAAAAGACAGATTTGAGGACTGTGGCTGTAGAGAGATGTGGTGCTCTCCTAGGGAAACACAGATTTAATGCCAGCAGCCCAGCAGCTATTGCAGCCGCTGGGTTAAGCCAGAGGTAAAGATGGATAAAGTGGATCAGGGTCAGGTCAATTAAAATCAGCCCAAGCCGTGTTTCTAAGGCTCTGCAGCACACTTGTGTCCAATGAATGCACTGTGCTGACACTCCTGGAAAGAGCTGAGTCTGCAGCACACATGTATTTGCTAAGCAGGAAAAAAACCCATCAAAAACCCCTTACTGCACCATTCCCAGTCCATGGGGCCAGTTCAGCTCCATTTGCCTTTTTCTGACCTTTGCTATCAACTCTCCTCCCAGCAGAAAATTACAAATTACCCACAGGCTATTTTTTTTTTACCTTGTAATTTCCTCTAATCTCAAATAAATGCTCTAATTGACCTCTGTCCTCCCAGTGTACATGGCACACTGAGCAGGGCTGTGCCCACAAAAGATCCTTGTAAAGCACTGTCTATTTCCATCATTGTTTATTTATTGTTTTCATTAAATACAATAAATTGCCATTTATTGTGTTTATTTATTGTTGTAATTGCTTTGAACCAGAAGTCAGACGTCAAATATGCTGTGAGTCATTATCTAGGCAAAATAGATGTTTTTCAGGTGGCTGATAAAAAAAGCCCATGATATGCAGGTGAAATGGTCCATGGGAGCCAGAGCTCTCCTTGCCCAGAGGCAGTTTCACACCCAGTGGCTGATTTGTACCCTGCCTGGACCATTTTGTTTGTGCCCCAAACATCCAGAGATGGGAGGAGTGTGTTTTCCAAATTCAGCACTTTAAAAGCTTTGGGAGCTTGAAATTATTTAAAAATATTTAATATAATATTAATAAAATATTTAATATCTTTAATATATCATACACTAAATATATTTTTATATTTATATATATATAATTTATATTATTAAATAGATTTAACATTTAAAATATTTAATATATATCTGCTGTTTATTCCTGCTCGTTTTCCATAAGCCTGGTCAGTGCTGCTCCATCCCTTGGCCTTCTGAAAGCCTGAGTGCTGCTGGCCCCACACTTGGCAGCAGCCAATGATTACTTTTCCCTGCCAGTCACTATTTTGTGAAGAACATTTTTGCCTGTTAGCTGTGACTGATGTGCTTTGTCTGTGCAGCATGGATGCAGTCAGGGCACCCCTGAAAGGTTGTATTTAATAAAAGAGAACATGGTGATGAAGCTTCCACATCAGCCAAGCCCTGGGCTATTCCCACAGGCTGCACTGCAGTGCACATACCCAAATAACCTTGGGATTTGAGCTGAAAAACCACTGTTTTCTCAATGCCTACTTGGCTTTGGGGCAGAAATTCCATCACTGCTCTCATGGCAAAGCTAGGGAGGAGTGACAAGGGAGGCTGGTGACATTTCCCTGTGGAGAGGGAGCCTGTGGCATGTCCTGCACTCGCTGAGCAGTGCCAGCAGCAGCTTGCAGCCCCCTGTGACAGCCCAGGGCTGGAGGAGCACCCAGCCTTGCCCATCCCCACGAGCAGAGCTCTGTGCAGCTAATCCCCTGCTGCCAGCTTCCACAAACAGTGTCCATCTGGAGTGAAAACAGCTGGGGAGGGAGATGAAGAAACTTTATTTTGCAACCATTTGTGGTAGTGTTCACAACCACAGCCTCAAGCGCTTTCTCTGCTTACGCACCAGAGCAAATAACAATAGTATTTTCCATTGATATAGTGACTTTTGTCTCCAAGGCTCTCTGCAGGCCCAGCCTGTGGTCTGGGCATGGCCTCACCTGGGCAGGTGAACTCCTGTCATGAAGAACTGAACTGTGGTGCTTGTCTCTGCAGTGATTTTGGAAATACCAGCTGCCTGCTCAGTGCCTCCTGGGAATCTTAGAGCTCATCTCACCCAGGGCTGCACATGGGCCCCAGGGGTGTTCCCCAAGGCTCAATCTAGGGAAGGTTCCATTTGGCAAATTTGCCTTTAGCTAGATGGGCACACTGGGTCTGGAGTGAGTGGACTCTGCTCTTCCCAGAATCAGAGAATCCATGCAGAGAGGAGCAGGGAGGGCTACTCTGAAAGCCTCTTTTTCTGGAGATACTTAAAGTCAACCTGGACACGGCCCTGTGCAACCTGCTCTAGGTGAAATTGTATTAGCAGGGAGGCTGGACTAAATGATCTCCACCGTTCCCAACCATTCTGTGATTCTGTGGCTTTTTGCCTCACTGTCTTAAAAGATGTGGGCTGCCATGTGCATCACCCACGGGAGAGGAAAGCAGGAGGCAGAGGAGCACCGTAAAACATGGCTGGGTCACTGAAAATAAGAAATGGAAAGCTAAGTGTGAGTTTGCAGGAGCTGCAAGTAGATGTGGTGGACCAAACTCCATCAGACAAAATAAAGTGAGTCACTAAGCAGCAGGTTTGAGAGCAGGAAAGGTTAAAACAAACATTGTTGAATTGGCTTCTGATTGAAATCAAAGCTGGTGATTGCTTTCCTGTTCTTCAGGCCAAGATATCACTTTTTTTTTCATGTCCCATTTTCTGCCACTGTTATCGTTGGATCAGCAGGTCCGTCCGGGCCCTCAGCTCCTGAAGGAAACAAAAGTGGGATTGCAGGAAGGGTGGGTTTAGATTAAACGTGAGGTAGAAATTCCTCCCTGTGAGAACGGTGAGGGTGGCACAGCTTGCCCAGAGAAGCTGTGGCTGCCCCTGGATCACCGGCAGTGTCCAAGGCCGGGCTGGACGGGGCTCGGAGCAGCCTGGGATAGCGGCAGGTGTCCCTGCCATGGCACGGAGAGGAAGGGGATGCACCCCAGCGTGCCCGCTCACCCGAAGCGCTCTGTCGCCGTGTGCCTGCCCCGGGCCCGGCCATGGCAGGGGGGAGGAAGGGAAGGCACCCAGCGTGCCCGCTCACCCGAAGCGCTCCGTCGCCCTGTGCCTGCCCCGGGCCCGGCGTGCGCGGGGCGGGCCGGGGCGGGGCTGGCGGGGCCGGGCCAGCGGGGCGGGCGCGGAGCGGGGGCGGCGGCAGAGCGGCGGCAGCGGCGGCGGCAGCGGCAGCATGGAGCGAGCACGGGGAATCTTCGGGGGACCCAAGGTGGGCTGGCGGCGCTGCCGGAGATGCAGGGCCGAGAAAGGGGCGTGCACCGGCACCGAGGCGCTGCGAACGGGAGCGAACGCGGCGCGCCCGGGGTGAGGTGCCGTGCCCGGGGTTGAGGTGCCGTGCCCTGTGGTGCCGTGCCCGGTTCGGAGGTGCCGCGGTCCGGCCATGCACCGGAGCCGGGCGGGCGCTCCTGCTCCCCGCAGCCCGGGGCTGCCCCGGCCGGAGCTGCAGCACGGCCGAGCCCTCGCTGGGGAGGTGTCCCGGGACAGCGCTAGCAGCCCCCGCTGTCACCTCGCGGTCCCAGAAGGGCGCTGCACTGTCCCGGCCCGGTGCTCCCCTTAGGGACGGGCACGGGCGGTCCCGGTGCTCCCCTCAGGGACGGGCACGGGCCATGCCGGTGCTCCCCTCAGGGACGGGCACGGCCGGCCCGGGGCTTTCCCCTCAGGGACGGGCGCGGGCCATCCCGGTGCTCTCCCCTCAGGGACGGGCACGGGCCATCCCGGTGCTCCCCACAGGGACGGGCACGGCCGGCCCGGTGTCCCGCACATCCCGCCGCCGGGGCGATGCGGGTCAGGCTCATCCCGGCACCCGGTCGGGGACACGGCTCCGCCGGGCTGGGGATGCACAGGTGGCCCGGCTGGGGAAGGGGAGGCTCTGAAGGGCCCTGCGTCCCAACCGCTATCGTAGCCTGCTAAAACAGATGTTTTGTCTTTTTTTCTCTTGTGTCTTTTATTTTGTTTTGGGGGTTGGTTTGCGTGTGCTTTTTTTGTTCTTTTTTTCTTTTTTTTTTTTTTTTTTGTGGTTTCATTGGTTTTTTTCTCTTACACATTTAGTTCAGTTATTCCTCAGATACCCATGGCACCACTTTGGAGCACTCTCTGACAGCAGGCACCAGTCTTTCACTCTCTCCATGCCTTGTGTACTACATCTCTAGTAGGATCATATGGTAATGTTTTTATTATCCAGATTGTAACCTAGAGGACTAGAGGAGGAAGACGATGAAAGAGCTGTGGTTAGCAATAGTCCTGTATCTGATGGAAGAGCACTGCCTGTGCTGCAGGATGGCTCAGCCATCACGCTGTGGTCTGGGTAAGGTGCTGTACCTGGTGTGCCAGGCTGGGCTCTTGTGGGAAAGTAGGAGTCAAGGCAGAGGAGACCAAGAAAAGTGATGTGGGAGTTGTGGTGCTGCTCTGAGAGAACGTGAGTGGTGGCAACTGCTTGTGGCTTTTCTAGAGAAGAAGATTGTCTCTAAAACCACAAAAGGATGGGGGGTTTTGCTGCTGTTTGCATCCTTTCCCACTCTGTTTATCTCTCAGCTGAGTTTGCACCAGGAAAGTCTCACATACTTGGAAAGGGCAGTGTGCACAGGTCTGATTCATTTTTCATTCTATCACTATGGTTCCCTTTCCAGGAAGCTGATCTGTGCAGTAGCAGGCAAACCTTGATACCAAAATCCAGGGAGCATTGGCAGCTGCTGATGGCTAAAGCCTTTTTAAGTGCAGTTCAGTTTTGGGAGATGGTGGTGCTTCATCAGCTCCACTAAGAAAAAAGGCTGTTGATTCACCCTGGTGATTTTAAACTTTTGGTTAAGACAAGTAACTTAAGTTCTTCTTTCATTTGTGCTTCTACTTTCCCAGTGTATGGGAGACTGGAATACCAAAGAGAAAGACCTAGGAAAAACTGCAGGGTTTGACTGCTAAGATCAGGCTTCTGTTGTCTGGCTATTGGCAATTATGGGACTGGTTTTCCTGACTCAGGCAGTCCCTTTCAGTCCTGTGAACCTGCTAAGTCAGGCTTGGGTGAAAAAAATGGGCCTGAAGTCAGTTAATGAGCTCTATTCATTCCTCTGGATGCTCTGCCATTGGGAACGATCAGTTTTGTGTTTTAGAGATGTTTCTAGCAACTGGAGCAGCTTCTGCCCCAGCTGAATGTGGGGCTGGGGCTGCCTCTGTGTTTTTCAGGAACTCGCTGACTCCCAGGGGCGGCAGTGATGAACAGGGAGCTGTGGCAGGACAACTTTGAACCCTGCTTATCTCAGGCCATAAAAGAACAGAGAAGTTTGATGTTCCTTTGATGTCAGCCATCACCCTTTCTGTCCCACAGCCAGAGCAGAGACCGTGTCCTTGCTCACTGCCCTCTTCTTGTAGGCCAGCCCCAGCTTGGGGGCTTCGGGACGTGTGGCTGTCTTCTCCTGCAGCTCCATGTGCCATGCTGTGGAGAGCAGAATGGGAACAGGGCTTTCTGGGGTCAGGCCCACTCTCTCCAGGGACTGGTGTAGCTCATTTATAAAATAATCATCAGGTGACATGGGGGAGCTTTTCTGTGAGGCACACTGTGTGTGTCAGCCTCTCACAGAAGAGTGGCTGCGGGCTCAGTCTGGGTGGTACCAAAGGTGCCTGTGCTGGCTGTACCCAGGGGGTTTGGGTTGGGATGTCCTGCCCCACTCCCTGTGGCCCTGCAGACTCTCCCTGCCCATCAGGGGACTGCAGGTCCACGATGGTGTGTGGAGGATGATGTTAGATTTGTCTCCTCCACCTCTTGTGCCCAGTCTGAGCCCTGACTTGGCGTGGTCAGAGCCTGGTGCTGCTGAGACTGCCCTGAGCTCGAGCCAGGCTTACACAGTGCTGCCTTGTGTGCTCAGTGCTTTACCAGTGTGGCACAGGGACGCTCTTGGATAACCATCCCAGATCCAGGTGGCAGTAAAAGGTTGTCTTGGTGCTGCACTAAGTGCCAGGACTCTGCTTTACTCTTTGTTTTGCTCTGAAGGGGTGCTGTGCTCCAGCCAGGGGTGGGGGTGAGCTCTGTGGTGGGTCGGTGGGCACACGGCCCTGCCACCCCATGGAACCATCACCTGTAATGGCACACAGCCACCATCACCTATTAATGTCACCAGGAGTCTCCCACTGAGGTCAGTGATGTAGTTGGTGCCAGGCTGCTCAGCACTGGAGCATCCTCCTCTTCCTCAGCCACCAAACCCATAAATCATTGTCCAGATGCATAGAAAGCACAAATATTTCCTCCAGGGGAGCTCTGTGGGGCTTGTAGTCTCCCATGTTCCTCTTGTAAAGGCTCACCCTTTCCAGCAGGTGACATCTCCCAGGTGCATTTGTGATGTGTTCAGGTTTGAGGATAATGCTGTGCTACTTCCACTTCACAACCCTCTTGAGCCACTCTCACCTCTTGCTTCTAAATGAGCATTTGAGATGAATTTAGGATGAGGAACTCTTTTTTCCTAACAGCACATTTCCTTAAAACCAGACTTGTTTTTTCCAGTGATTTGTCATGCTTATCAAATAATTGACAAATTAGAGCTGTAATTAGCCTGGTTTTCAGCCACTGAGATTAATAGAATGAGCCTAAATCACCATCTTTCAAGAGGCTGATAAATAATCCTGGGCAAAGTCACTGTGAAGGGTTTTAAAGTGATGCAGCTTTATCAGCAGCCTGATTATCTATTAACGTCTGCTGCAAACCTCACAATAAAAGGGGAGGACTGAATTTGGTCATTGTATATATTTTTAAAAAGACCCTAACAACCCCCTAGTACAGAAAATCCTTCAAGTGCCTTAGCTTGAATGGCTCTTTTTATGCCATATAATGGGCAAGCTGAGCAGGTAACTGCTCTGCCATGGTCCACTGATCAAACCATAATAGAGAAATTGTGTTGGGTCGACTGTGGATAAAAATACTTTGAATGTTTGGTTAACTTTTTCCCCTTAATTTCACTAAAATGAAAATAATCACACTTGATCTTGGAATGGAACGTACTTATATGTGTACCTTCATTTTGTGTTTGAATTTATTTTTGAAGCTTATTTCATCTCAAAGAAAACATTACAATATTTTCAGAGAAGTCAAGCCAGAGCCCTTAACACTTCTCCTTTTTAAAAATCTGAACCAACTTGCTGATATCTGCACTAATGAGTCATGTGCCATGGTTGAGCTAAATTTTTTTTTTTGCATAAAAGTGGAAATGGCTGGGTTTGCTCTGATGGCCTTGCTGGGGACTGTCTGTGCTGAGGAACACACAATGTACAGACTTTTGAACGTTCTTTGAACCCATGCCTCTGGCTTCCAACAAGTCTGGAGTGAAACTAAAAGCTTTATTGCATTACACTCTGGGTTTTTGATGTGCTGGTGGGAGGTCAGTGGAGGTGCAGGAAGGACTGAAGGGTTCCTGCACAAAGCTGGTCCTGAGGGTCCTCCCTGTACCTGGGAGAAGAACAAAGCTGCTTCCTCAGGAAAGCACTGGAGAGTTCTGCTGCTCTCTTGTTCTTCATCAGAGCAGGTGGTACCACATCCAGCTGGGCTGATAAGGGAAGTTATCAATCTGCTCTGGAGGGTGGCATTCCTGCCCACGGCAAGGAGGGCTGGGGCTGAATGACCTTTAAGTTCCTTTCCAACCCAAACCTATCTGTGATTCTATGATCAGTGATCGTGGGATGGCTGAAGGCTCCTGCCCAGTGCTGGTGCACCCTGTGGTGCTGTTCAGATCCTTCACCAGCTGTTGAGATCCCAATACAATGTGTGTGCTCGTGCTTTCTCTACAAATAAATCGGAAGGTTTGGGGTGGGAGAGCACATGCACATGGAGCTGTGTACTGAGGAACAGAGAGCTCTGGAAGGAGCACTGGGCTCCTGCATTCACCTGATTTCTGCTTGCTCAGGCATCGTCCCCTGGAGCCACAGCTCAGAGAAAACTCTTTCATCCTTATCTGGGTACTTTCTTTGGCTTAAGGCAAGGTCGTGTCACCCGTTTGTATGTGGAAAAGACTTGTGCCTTGTTTACCCGAAACAAACACAGCAGGAAGAGAGCTGCAATGTAATCTGCAGGGAGCAGCCTCCCACGGACCTGGAAACCCTCAGGGATTGTGAGCAAGGTGCCCAGGGCAGATGAGCTGCTGGGTTTTGCCTCTGCTGATTGCATCTTTATCTGGAGGCCTGTAGGCACTTCCATCTGCTCTTGGATGTCCTTTGGCCATCTACACAGCATAGGAGAGTTCAAACTCTGCTCTCAAGCACTGGTCTGGCAGAAAGCCAAAACTTCTTGGGTTGAACAGCATTGAACAAGGGTTTCTTAGGACACAGACCCCAAAAAAAAGGCTGGCAGGGGACAAAGAGCCTGTTGCTGGTATTGGAGAGGCACTTGCTGCTTTACAAGCATGGCACCTGCAGAAGAGGCAGGAGGAGGTGACTTACATAGGTGAAGGTGCCATGGAATCTGCTTTCTCACTGATGGGAATGTCATGTTGGGATGTTCTTGCAGGAAACACTTGAAAAGTGTTTGATGGAAAAGACCTCAACAGGTTCAGGTTGCTTTGATTTTAAATCCAATGTGAGGAAATTTCAAGCCTGTAACTCCATCAGAAAGACTTGAGGGCTGTTGAATACCTCAAGGAGTGGATCTTGCATGGTTTTGAAATAAGAATTGGAGCTCAAGAGTGGAAAACATGCCAGGCATCTACATCTGGCAATGCAGACCATGTTTGTATGCTGTTATTTTATTTGCTGCTTTGCAGGACACTTAGTCCTCATAAGCAGGATTGCATAACTCAAGGAGAGGCGAAAGATCAGGTTTTGCCCTTCTAAAAATCTTCCTCTGTGTAGGTTGAGCTGGTATCTTGAGGGTAGGAGCAGTGGCAGGGGTGTGTTTTTACAATCTGCTGTCAGTGGTGGCTGTGGGTGTATCCCTGACCCTGGACCAGCTGATTGCCACCAGCAGTTTGATCCATGCTCAGCCTGCCCCAGCTGCGTTTTGCACCCAGCAGTGTTTGGGTGGCAGCTTGGTGGCCGTCATGAGGGGGTGGCCTGAGCCCCAGCCCTGTCCCAGCCCTGCCTTTTGCAGCAGGAGCGGCCAGTGGGAGCCCTGGCAGTGAGGCAGGCGCTGTGCCTGCAGGGCAGGTGTGCAGGGTGTGTGTGGGCATGGAGTGAGCTCCTGGGCACCCGTGCAGCCGCAGAGATGGGCACTGCCAGCCCTGTGCCAGGAGCTCACCTCACCTGCTCCTGGGCACTGGCAGGCACTGCTTACTCAGTTTTCTCCCAGCTCCTTGGTAGTTATTGTTTGATATCTGCCCTGACACCAGAGGGTTTGTGGGTTGGAATTAGTAACCCTGGGTAGGTCAGTTATCCATGCAAATATCCAGTCCTCTTCTGAGTCCTACTCCTTTCTTACCCTTGGCACCTGCAGCTCTCATCTATGCAGGAAAATGCATGGGTGTTATAACTAAATGTCCATGAAGTTATAACTAGAAAGAACCTTGTGTATTAAGTTTCTAATCTACAGTTTCATTTAAAAATACAGTAAAATCAAATATGTAGTTTCTAGGCTATTCTGTTACTTAAAAGAAAACAGTTCTGGAAAGATGGATATCTAGCTGAAACATTTTACAGCTAATATTTTCCTTCCCAGTTCGACTTCCAAATCACATTTGTCATGTTCCTCTGAAAGCCCCAGCTGGCTAATGGGAAAAGCTTGCTTTTGCTTTTCTGGCTCTCCTTCTCCAAAATTCAAAGTTTCAACAATAATGGGGAAATAGGGCTTCAGAGTGAAAAGACATGAGTTACTGTACTATTTTTAATGGGTAAAAATTTAAGTGTGTTATTTTGAAACCTTGTTGGCTCTATAGGGCAACTTCTTCTTGTTATTATTATTCTTATTGTTATTACTATTATTATTTTATGGCACCTTTTGCCATGGGACTGACCCGTTGTGTAGGATTAGAGAGCCTGTAAGCCCTGATAATACCATGTAACTAACAACCCATCAGGAGCTGACTCTTGGAACTGAGGTCAAAGTTTTCATGTAATGACTCTTAGCAAATTAATTAGGGTTTGGCTTCCTGTGATTTCAGGGAGGAAGTGTGCTGGAAAGTCAAGGTGTCTGGAGTTTGCTTTTTTCACTCCTCCTGAACTCTAAATAAGGATAGGGCAGTTCCTCAAAATTACTGTAAATAGGATAAATTTCTAAAGTTTCATTAAATGTGTGAGCTGCAGCAAAATACTTAGACAATACATAGATACTGAAAAATAAATTTCATAATGATTATATTTAAAAAATGTTGATGTGTCATGACTTTGTCCCTGTCTTGGGTACAGTTATACCCATTTGAGCACCAGTTACTTCTGTCTGAATTATTGTTGCAGCTCAAGAGTGCCTGACCCATTTCTCCCATTGCAGGTGGAGCTTCACGTCCACCTGGATGGAGCCATCAGACCAGAGACCATCCTGTACTTTGGCAAGTGAGTTGTGGGGGGAGATCAGCTCTGGGAGCTGCAGTGCAAAGGCATCCTCCCTTCTGCTGCTGCTGTCTGTGACAGAGGAGCTCCTGAGGCAGCAAACCTGGCTGCTGCTGCTTCTGGCTCTGCCCAGACCTGCCCAGTGTGAGGGCACTGAGCACACCCCAAAAGATAGGGGGGCTTCCCAGGCAGCAGGAATGGGACTGAGGTGGGTTCGGGAGCTGGGCAAGCTCAGAGGAGCACTATGAGAGAAGTGCAGAAGATGTCTCATAAAGAGCTGCCTGCCTTTGAAATGTACCCATGACAGCAGAGGTGCTGCAGTCTCATTTCTTTTTCCACATTCCTCCTCACAAGGCCAAGTGGAATGGCAGCAGGCTGGGAGTGTTGTGTTGGTGGTGGTGCTGCTGCTACATGGTTTGGGAGGAAAAGCCAGCTTGGGTGGCCTTGCCTGCCCTGCTGCCATGGGCATTTGAATCCCAGGCTGTGTGCCTGGTGCAGCAAGCAGGGAGTCTCACTGGTGTGGGGCTGGCCCAGGGAAGCACCTGGCAGGGGTTCAGAGAGAGGTTGTTTCCCTGACAGAGCCCACGTGCATCTTCCTTCAGTGTGGGTTGTGTGGGAAGCACGGGGTGAATGATTAACCTGTGCCAGGGCCTGGCTCCACATTTGTAGGCAAAACAAACAAGATTTCCTCCAGCTGTCACTGATACCCTCACACCAAGAAGGTGGCAATGGTAAGGATTTCAGTAAATGGCTCTTAGGCACAGCTCTGGTATTTTGGGGAGGAAGTCAGTTCTGGTACTTTGGGGAGGAGGATGGGAAGTTGTTCTAGCATCCTGTGAGCCCAGCAGCTTGCAAGGCAGTGCAGTCCTAGGGAGGACTGTTCTTTCTGCAGCCCTGGCCATACTTTTTGCTGCACTGTCAGAGAAAGGAGTGTGGGTCAGGGCTGTCCATCCCATTTGCTTGCTGGATGCTGGCATGGTGAGCTCAGGGTTCCTGCTGCTGGGCTGCAGGGCTGGAATGCAGCTCCAAGTGAACAGGAGAGCTGGTGCTGACTCCCTGGGGCTGTGCTGGGTCCCTCTGCCTGCAAACAGAAAATGCCAGCGTAGTGCCCTAGGGGAATTGCAGGAGCCCTGACACCCAGGAGGCACTGGCTGTCTGGGGATCCTGTGCCAGGATCCTTTCTTAGGGCAGAAACCTTCATTGCCTGAGCGTGTGCTGAGCTCCCTCTTATTTTTAAACAGCCCTGGCACCCCCTGAGCTGCCAGCCCTGGGGTGGAGCAAGGCTGTGCTATTCATGGGCTCTGAAACTTGCACTCACACACAAACCTCTGGGGCAGTGCAGAAGGCTGTAGGGGACTGACTGCCTTCATAACCTCAGCCTGGGTAGGAAATGCTGCTTGTGGTCTATTTTTAAAGGTAAAGAGCTGGACATAATTTTGCTGGGTGGTGTTTGACCGTGTAGACAGAAGCCCAAGCTGCTGGGATGCACAGGCCCCCATGGGCAGTGCACTGCTGAACTGAGCTGTTTCTAGAAACCTTGTCTCCAATTCTGTCAGGTCTGGGTCAGCCTTTGCATCATTCCTGCTCAGCCAGAGGGCTCAGAGGTGTGACAGACCCCTCGTGGGGCCTGGGTGTCCCCAGGAGAGGTGCCCTTTCTGTGGTGGCACGGTGTGCACGGTGCTGCCCGTGGCTGGAGGGAGCTCTGGGCAGGACACCGAGGTGGCAGTGAGGACAAACACGTTCCCCTCTGGCCAGTTTGCTGCAAGAAGGATCCCACCTACAAGGAGGGGCAGCAGCAGCCCCAAAAGCCACACTGGCATGATGCACCAGGTCTCCCCATGCAGAGGCGTGGTTCCAGCGTGGATCATCCCAAAGCACTGCCACTGGTGCCTGCAGGAAGGCACTGCCTCAGCAAGCACATGGAGCAGGTCAGGGAGGTGGCTTTGCTGTAGGAAACTTTGCTGGGGCAGGTGGAGGAAGGTGCAGGTCGGCTCCTGGAGCAGAGACTGAGGTGTGAGTGCCATGGAAAGGGCAAGGCAGGGAGGAAAACCGATGCCTTGGCAGCAGTGAGTGTTCCCTGCAACTTAATCTGTGCAGATTGCATGTGAGGGCTGAGCATGGGGCTGCTTTCCTTGCTGCCTGAGTGGGGCAGGAGCAATGTTTTCCAAGGCCAGGAGCAGGGTCCTTTGGACTGTGTCCCTGCATGGCTCATGGGGATGGCTGCTGGCAGGGCAGCACTGCAGCTGGCTCTGGTGTTTTGTCTCTATTAGCAGAGCTCTCCCATCAGTCAGCTGTAATTCATTGTGGCAGGAAAGGGGATTAAAAACGAATGTCTGGTTATTATTCCAAATTTGTTTTGGCTTGTGCAGGGTACCAGAGGGTGCGGGGATGGCAAAGCTTGCCCAGAGAGCTGCAGCACCCTTGGCTGGCAGCTCCCTGCTGTATCTCAGCTGTCCCCTCACCAGGAACACCTTCACCCACTCAGAATTCCAGCTGCTCCTGGGAAAGGTGGCTCTTCCCTCTTGGAAGCATTTACGTGGGGATTAGTGTGTGTGCCCCTTCAGTGAGAGCAGTTGTTGCCCTTTGTTCCTGTGTGGGAGCTGTTCCTGTCACTGGAGATGCCACCAGGATGCTGGGCTCAGGAAGCAGCTCCCTCTCAGGAGCTGCTGGCACTAAACCCATGGGCCACAACACTTCTGCCTGTGTGATCCCAGGCCCTGGAGCATCTCCTTGATTTTTTAATCCTTTGAGCCTGCATGAATGGAAATTAACTCTTCTGAAGAATTTTGACAATTCTGCTGCGAGGTCTAGGAGGTGCCAAGAAATAATCCAGAGCCCCTTTAGATGAACTCCTTCTTAAGCTTAAAATGTGCCGTGGCTGTGTTCCTGCTGGGTCAGCCTGGGCTTGTATTTGGGTTTGTTTGTGCTTTGCCTGTGTTTTGGATTGCCTTCCTCTCTGCTGATGTTCAGGGCTCCATCCGTGAGGAGCTTTTGGAAGGACAGGGTGTGCTGGATCTTTCCTGTGAGGAGATGATGGTTGATGCTGCCAGCTTTGGATGCAGTTGGTGTGTACAATGGGCTGATTAAAAATGGGATAACCTTCCCTGTCAGTAACATGTGGCTTTGTTTCCAGGAAAAGAGGAATCCCTCTCCCTGGGAACACTGTTGAGGAGCTCCTGAAGTATGTGAGCTATGACACACCACTGTCACTCCCCCAGTTTCTAGAGAAATTTAATTACTACATGCCTGCCATTGCGTAAGTACCCTGCTTTCTGCTTTTCCCCCCTCAACCCCTGTCAGGATCAGCCTTGGAGGTGCCCTGTGGGCCCTGAGGGTGACAGTGGCACTGCCATCCCTGCAGGGGTGACCGTGAGGCAGTGAGGAGAATTGCCTACGAGTTTGTGGAGACCAAAGCCAAGGAAGGAGTTGCCTATGTGGAGGTTCGGTACAGCCCTCACTTCCTGGCCAACTCTGGTGTGGATCCCATCCCCTGGGGACAAGCTGAGTGAGTGATCCTGGGGAGCTGGGAGCTGCTGGGTGGGCATGGAGAAGGCATCCCCATGCCAGTCAGCCACTGTGCCTTCAAAGGCTGCTGTAGCAAACCTCCTTTCTCCTCCATGCAGTGAGAGCCAGCATGCCTCCACCTCTCTCTCCCATCAACTGGGTTTTTCACCTTGAACACCTCTGTGTGCTGCAGTGTTTTAATGTCCCTTGCTCTGGGCACTGAGTTCTGCACTCAACTTTCAGGCTGAAGGCCTTCCCTGTGAGAGGGAAAGGAATGTGCCCATAGGGACTGCCTGACACAGAATGGAGTTTGAGCTGGCAGAGGTGGTGGCTGGTGTTGGAGGGGGCTGCTGCTCTGATCCCTTCCTCTCATGACATCTCCTCTGTGGTATGTGCCTCTCATTAAATCAGTGCTGGGCTCTGGGGCCCCTGCAGAGTGTGCTGTGGTGGGTGCAGAGCCCTGGGCTTGCAGAGAATTGTGTGCCCCAATGAGATGCTCTGGCAAGGAGGGGATTGCTCTGCTCAGGCAGGATGGACACCCAGTTCCCCAAGGCCTTTCTAAATCTTGGTGTCATCTGTGCCTGCTGCAGTGGCCCAGGGGTTACACCTGTACCAGGTAAATGTGGCTGTGGCAGGGCTGTAAAAGGGCTCTGGGTGATCTCCCTGGGCAAGTGGAACCTGGGGCAGCCTGTCCTGCTGTGGGGCTGCTGGGCTGGACCTGCCTGCCTCCCTGGCAAGTGTGTGGCCTCTTGCTGATGGCTTTTCTTCCCTGCAGGGGGGACCTCACTCCAGATGAAGTGGTTCAGCTCGTTAATCAGGGACTGAAGGATGGAGAGAGGGATTTCCACATCAAAGCCAGGTCTATTCTATGCTGCATGCGCCATATGCCAAGTAATGTATTGCAGCTGCCCTGCTGCTCTGCTCCCTTCCCTGAGGGGTGGGGGGATGTCCCTGGGGCTGGGGCCCTGCAGGATGTGGGGAGAGCCCCAGTCTGTGGGGCTGGTGCAGCACCAGTCAGTGCTGGGGGTCTCTGGGGGTCTCTGCTCCTTCACTGTAGGGCAAAGCTCTGCTGGATGCAGGAGTGGGGGTCTGTGGGTACAACCAGTATCTGAACTGGATGTGCCTTGCTAGAGGGACAAAAGGGGCTCCTCTGTGCTCTCCTGGGGCAGCTGTGGTCTCTGCTCCCTGCCCAAAGGCCAGAGCTCACCTTGGGCCACTAGATGCCATTGGCACAGTGAGCACTTTCATCTGCCATGAGTGGCTGGAGGTCTGAGAGAAAATGGTCGTGGGAGGTGGAGCAGGCAGCACATCTCACATTCCCTGCTCATGGTCCTACTGCACGATGCTCTTTCCTTAGCCTGGTCATGGGGCAGCCAGAGAATCCACTGGCACAGCCAGTCTCTGCTGGCTAAACTGAAAACACAAGTCAGATACACTTAAGCACGTATATAAAATGGTTTTTTTAAAAATCAGCAGTTCTGACAAAAAGCTTTGTTGGTAACAGGTGCTGTGACCCAGAACAGGAAGAAAACCAATTACAAGCATTTCAATGGGCTGCTGAGTTTCACAAGCATCTTCCTCTAGGGAAGGATGCAGCCAGAGAGAGGCTGTGTGACAGCAGGTGTTTTATGTGAAGGTTTTATTTTGAGTATCTTCATATCTCACACCAGTTTTAGGTAGGCTTTGTAGGGTAGATGGTGGAAAGATTTTTCCTAGTGAGTACATGATTAAATTGTATCTAGAAATGTCAAAAATTATATTCTTGGGAGCTGGTAGAATCTTGGTAGATTTGAAAGTGGGGTTTTCTTTTTTTTTTTTCCTACTTGCACAGTCAACGCAAAACATTACTTTGAAAACTTGATCCTTATATTTCTGGTTTCTAGGGGAAGAAAATGTTTTCCTTTGTAGAAATAGGAGAGCTGTCAGGCACTGGCACAGTGATCTGCAGGTACAGTCCCTGCCAGTGCACAAGTGGTAAAGGCAGGAGGTGCCAGGAGCACCCAAGGGTGTGTGCAGCCTGCACTGCCCTGCAGGAGGGATTGCTGCTGCAACCAGCAGAGGTGGCATTCTCATACCTGTGTCCCAGCTGATACCCAGATCCAATGGTGTGCTTGATAAAAGTCTTTAGCAGTGCATTCAGGATGTGCTGCACAGTGAAAAGCCACCCTGTAATTAATGAACTGATGAGAGAAAGGCAGAGATACCAGCCAGAACTGACTCATATTAAACTTGTTAATAAAATAATGACTCTAACCAAGAAAGTTGGAAAACGGTGGGAAAAGTAGATGATGAAGTTGCACACATCATCCTGATGTGTTCATATGATTTGGGGATTTTCTGTACACAGCAGGTGCCTGCCAATTATTAACACAATTGTTTCTCTCTGTTTCTTGGTCTTTCTGCTAGGGTTAAGTGCTATGTGAGCTGGTAGATGCAGTTTCTTTCTCAGAGGATATCTGTCCTGATCACAGAGAGCTCTCAAGCAGTTGTTGGCCACTTGTTAGTCTCTTTGTCCCTGCTGGCAAATAGATAAAATTTCAGCTCCTTCCTATCAGGAGTAGAATCCTTGGGAGAGTCAAGGATGCACCGGGGCAGGGATGGCTGCAGCACAGGGCCCCCCGGAGACCCCTCCCAGCCCAATCTCCTCCCTGGCACAGCTCATCTGGTGGGGCAGTTCCTGCCTTTACCCTCACCCTGCCCAGCCAGGGAGGGGATGAGAGCTCAGGAGTTGGGGGATTTCTCCAACACATCATGTTACAGCCCCAGGGCAGTGCAGTTCATCTTAACCTCCAGCAACTGCAGCAGTCACCACTGCTTGGAAGATTTTTAATTAATTTTTTTCCCCTGCTTGAAGTGAGCAGAAAAACATGATGGGAGCAGTTTAATAGCTGGTGAATGCATTTAATTTCCCTTTCACTGACAACAGACTGATCAGTTGACAGCTTTTATCTGCCTGAAGATCAGAGAGATGACAGACCTTCCTAGGAGTTTGCTAGCTTTCTTTTTGAGCATCAAATTTTGGGAAAGACTAAAGAAAATAGCTCTTGCCCTCTAGTTATAGAACCAGGATTTGTTTAGAAAGATGCTGAAGGGCTGACCCTATGAATGCTTCCTCCTGAATGCTGCTGCTGCCTCTCCCAGGCTGGTCTCCAGAGGTGGTGGAGCTCTGCAAGAAGTACCAGAATGACTCTGTGGTGGGTGTTGACCTGGCTGGAGATGAGACCCTGAAGGTGGAAGATTATGCTGAGCATAAGAAGGCTTATGAGGTTTGTGGAATAAGATTTTAAAAAGAAATTACTAGAAGAATATATATTGAGGGGGTGTGGGTGAAGGGATGCTTTTCAAACTGTAAAACAGCTGGGACAGCTTAAAAATTCATTGCAGCTATTAAAAACATTCAGTTAAATAGAAAAAGCATTTGTTTATATTTCCTAAGTGATTAATGGCAGGCATCATTGCTAAAACATGGCCTCAAAGCTGGGGCTTGGCACTCTGTGAGTGTGACATGAGTTCCATGGAGCCCAAAGCAACCCCCACCCCTCTGCTGTTGGCTCCTGGGGCTTGGTGAAACCACAGCCAGGGGTGGAAGAGACTGGCCTTTCCAGTCTGGCAGAAATGACTGAGGAGCAGAGCAGAAACTGCACATTTGCAGGGCTTTTATCTGATCATCTCAAGTGCAAACACTGGAATGGCTTCAGGAGCCTGATCCCAGGCTCTCCCCAAACCTCAGCCTTTGCAGTGGCTCCAAGGGAAGGGAAAGCCTCTCTGCTCTTGGCTGGTGGGAGTTTGGGGTTGTCTGTCCCCACCATCAGTGGGGAGGAGGCTGTGCACCATCACTGACAGAAAGGTTGGTGGTTTGCAAGCATTGCTCAGGTCTGAAAGGACTTGGGGCTTCCTTGGGGTCTTTACCCATCAGTGGGAGCTGATACAGGGCTGCCCTGCTGTGCTGAGTGAACAGGGTGGATGTAGACAATGACACAGGAGCAGGGCTTCATTAACTGATGGGAAGGCAGCCTCATCCTGCGCTGGTGAGCCAGCAGTACCAGGTCCAGCCTCCTCTGTCTGAAGGATGCCTCTTGTCTCTGTGTCAGGGGCTCACTCAGGCTCTGAGATGCTGAAGCAACCTCTCCTCCCATCCCTATTAAGTAACAGCAAAACACTCCTGAGTGCAAAGCCCTGAAGGAATGTCTGTGAACAACATGTGCTGCAAGATGGGGCTTGCAGCCTGTCTGCTGCTGCCAGCTGGGTGGCCCTTCTCCAGCAGAGCAGGAGCCAGGCTTCCCTCCAGGCTCCATGGCTTCCCAAAGGCCAGGTGACCTGTGACCCCCAGACAAAGAAATTATCTGGGTGATGATGGAGCTGAACCCAAAGCTGGACTCACAGGGTCCTTAGGGTTGGGCTGCCTCCACCTCCAGCCCCTCACAGTGTCAGAGCATTTCTTCATCTCTGCCCTGGGGTGCTTCTACACCCTCACACATGGCTGCAGCTAGCCAAAAATGTAGAAGTTCCATAGCATGGAACTGCTGCAAGTTTCATGCAGAAAGACTGGTGGGTGGAGGAAGAGGAGCTCAGAGCTTGCTGCTGTCTGGAGAGGAGGCAGTGGTGAACTCAGCCAGGGTTAAAAGCCCGTGAAGAGCCTGGCTGGGCTCCAGTGGAAGATAACCAGGATTTTTAAGTGTCTCTGTGTGTGACATACAGAGCTCTTGCAGCCCTTGGAGCGCAAGGCTCGTGATCTGTGGGCTCTTGGCACAGGAGCCTTGCAGTGAGAGCAGTGCCAGCCCCAGAGCTGGCTGTCCTTGCTGCAGGGATGGCACAGGAGGATGTTGTCCCTTGTTTTGCAGGAAGCTGAGAGGTGTGGGATCCATCGCACCGTCCATGCTGGGGAGGCTGGCCCGGCTGCCATGGTCAAGGAGGTATGAGGAGCTCCTGCCTCAGGGCACAGAGGCATCCATGTTGTCCCCAAATCCATAGCAGAGGGAACCCTGGGGACATGGGCACAGATCTGACCCGATGGCTGGAAAGGGACATGCCAGGGGCCAGCTCGGTGGTGTGGCTGTACCTGCAGTGGGATGGGGGCTCTGGGCAGGCAGGGCTGAGCTGTGCCTGAGGCTCTGAGTGCTTCTCCTGTGCTCTCTAGGCAGTTTATGTCCTGAAGACCGAGCGTGTTGGCCATGGGTACCATGTCCTGGAGGACCCTGAGCTCTACAAGCAGCTGCTGAAAACAAAGATGCATTTTGAGGTAAGGATGTGCCATGGGACTGTGACAGCCAGGGAGATGCTGAGAGGAAAACAAGCACTCACTCAGGCTGTTCTACAGCCAGAGACAAGACCTGACACCCAGGTGCTGACCATGTGTACAGTGATGTTGTGTTTATGCCCAAAGCTGCACAGGAAAAATGCTGGGGACAAATCTGTGTGTCTGCTGGGAGCACTGGTGTGCGCAGCAGCTTGTGGGAGGGATGCAGCAGAGAGAATGGATCCTTGTGTGGCCATGGATGAATTCTGGAGGGGTTATTCACTGATTTATACACCTCAAGCCTGAAGGCTCATCCTTCCACAAATCAGGCTGCTGTACCAGAACAAGTCAGGTTAGTGGGTAGGAATGCCTGGGAGTTACAGTGCACGTAAGGAATTCTTTTGCTTTTCCCCAGAACGGGGATATCCACTAATAGAGGGAATACGTACTTAATGCAGGTGGTTTTGTAGCTGTGATTGGCACAGGGCTGGTGACTGACTGGCCATGGGGAACATCCCACAGCCCTGTCACAGTGCTGTGGGCTCCTTGCATCCCTGTCCTGGGACACACAATGGTCTGTCAGAGCAGTGCTGAGGGGCAGCTGTGAACAAAGCTCTGATCTGGTTTTACCAGTGCTGAGCTATCTGTGTCCACAGCTGGGGTTCAGATGCATGTGGTTGATTCTGGTTTTCCTGCTCAACTCTCCCAAACAGGTCTGTCCTTGGTCCAGTTATCTCACTGGGGCATGTCCTCCGGACTTCACCAAACACCCTGTAATACAGTAAGACTTCTCAATTATGTGAAATCTCAAATAACCAGGATTGGGGTTGTTACAGCTGCTTTATTGCTTTACATAGCTCAGGCACAGTGTCCTAATTATGTAGGACAATGTGGCACATCCATGTACCTTGGCACAGGGGAGCCTGGTGCAGCTGGAGGGGTGTGGGGGTCCCTTGGGGATGCTCCCCTGTCTCTCCTGCCCTGCTCTGAGCTATGGGGCATGAGAAGCTACAGCCCAGCCACTCCTGGCAGGTCAGTGCAGAGCCATGAGGGGACAAGCTGAGCCCTGTGCTTTTCTCCAGGAGTCCCAAAGTCTTTGCTTTTGCTGCATTTCACCCTGAGAAGTGCACAGTATCACAGCCAGTGCTCTGCCCACCAGTTCAACCTGATTTCCTTGCAGATTTAAGAAGGATCGTGCCAACTATTCTCTAAACACAGATGACCCCCTGATCTTCAACTCCACCCTTGACAAGGACTATGGCATTGTGAAGAAACACATGGGATTCACTGAAGAGGAGTTCAAGAGAGTTGTAAGTCAGCCTTGGCTGGGTGCTCTGCTGGTGTGTCAGTGCAGCCCAGAACAACCTGCTGGTTTTATTTATAAGCTGAAGAGTTTTTAATGGGAAGCAGAAAATTCCGCTCTGGCCTTGTAAGCAGGAAGGTAGGACCAGGCTCAAAGTACATCTCCCAAAAATTCCAGAGTATTTAAAGGCCTTTGCTTTGTGCTGGTCTCATTTCTCCTGGGACTGCTGCTAGTGGTGGGCCAGAGCAGTTGGCATCAAATAAGGCCATGGCAATGAATCTGAGAGTGGAAACTTTACGCCCTCCCTTGCCTGTTGCTGCTCAGAGCCAGGTGCTGGGATGTGCACAGCTGTGTGTTCATGTCTGATGTGTCCTAATGCCCCTGTGTTCCCCCTCTGCCTCCTCAGAACATCAATGCAGCCCAGTCCAGCTTCTTACCCGAGAAGGAAAAGCAGGAGCTGCTCAGCAAGCTTCATGAAGCCTATGGGATGGTGCCCAATGCATCCTGACCTGTCCCTGGAGCCAGCCTGGAGTGGGGCCCCTCTGCACAAGAGCCTGGCTCTCCTGTGTGCCAGTGGGAGCACTGGCAGGGGGTGCCCAGAGCCAGCCTCTGTTGCTGGCAGCCCTGTGCTGACCCTCACAGTGCCCATCAGAATCAGACCATCAATCACACACACCTACCTGTAGCCCACAGTGTCTCCTGAATGGATCTCCAGCTTCCTGTCCTGCTGCTGTGCGAGCAGACTGGTTCTGCCTGCTGGCCTGCCTCCCTTCTCCATCTGCTGGGCTTTCTGTGCTGCAAATGCAAACAGAACAAACTCCCTTAGGGGTTTTTCTCTTCCCTCTTTCCCTGTTTTACCTGTCCTGTCCCACTGATCTGCCTGGCCCTTGCCTCAGTGCTGAAATATCCACTTTGAGCTCTGGCTGTGGCCTGGCTTAATTCACCTTTCCAGGGCAGAGGCGTGCTAGTGCTGGCAGCCCTTTCAGACACAGAGGCTTTATTCTTGTCCCTGTGGCTGGGAGGGCCTGGTCTCAGTTCTATTTACCCAGGGTTAGTCTTGTACTAACAAGACTGGAACAAGAACAAGCTGCAAGCTGCCGCCCCTGCCAGTGCACAAGTCCAAAGGGCATTTAATACAAAATACAATTTTGTTTTGCATCCATTCTTGCAGAGAACTCCCATGTATCAGGCCTGCCAATGTCACTGCTGCAGAGTGCACACCTTGGGCTCAGGCCCCAGCTGTGCTCACAGCTGGCCATGACCATGCTTGCACATGCAGGCGAAGTTGGGACATAATTTTACCACTTCAGGCCAAAATCTGCCTTCTGGGATCTTCCCCACTTTTTTTGTCTTGGAGAACTCCTGTGAACTGCAGTTGATCTTCCTCTTACGTTTGTTTAGGTCTTGGAAAAAACATGATTGATTGCCTGGTTTAACAATTCTGCCCTCTTTCTGATTTGACTCAATCATTAGGCACTCTAAAGGCTGAATAAGTAAATTAACTTGGACCCAATGTCACACATTGACTCGGGTCCTGTTACAGCGCCTGAGTGGGTCGCTGCTGGTGAGAGAGAGACGGTGAATCTTGTTGCTTGATCAGAAGGCTGGATTTATTGATATATGATATAAAATACATTATGACTATACTAAATAGAATAAAGAGAGAAGTTGCAGATGCTGCTAAGCTAAGAATAGAAAGGAAAGAATCTCAAACAAAGTTGTGTCCAGGGACTCAGTTCCCTAGCTTGCACTGATGATTGGCCCTTAATTATAAACATGCACATGAGACCAATGACAGAGGCCCCTGTTGCATTCCACAGCAGCTGATAACAACTGTTTACATTCATCTTCTGGGGCCTCTGGCCTCCCAGAAAATGCAGAAATCTGAAAGAAAGGATTTCTGTGAAAAAATGTCTGCGACATCTCACCTTTCTAAATTGTATAAAATAAAAAAAAATGCTGATGTGGAATGAACAGGAAATTTCTTCACCTGTAAAATATACAATACTAACAAATCACTAAAAACAATCCTACAATCTAAGAAAATGCAAAAAACAATGCAAAGAGAATTCAAGTCCATGCAGCTGAGTTTCAGGAACAGTCCATCAGCTGAAGTTGTTTCTTTTGGACATCTGAGAGTCCTTTTTGGTCCTGAAAACAAACTTGCTGCAAAAGAGTTCCATCAATAGTTATCAAAAAACCATTGACAGTCATAACACAATTTCAAACAATTTGAACAACTTTGGAATGTCCTTTTCTGGCCCTTCAGTGCTTCAGTGCTTCAGAGCCGCTGCCCGCTATTTTCAATCTTTTTTATTTAATTTTAAATTTTTTTTTTTTTTTTTTTTTTTTTTTTTTTTTTTTTTTTTTTTTTTTTTTTTTTTTTGATCGAGAAGCAAAAGAGCAGAAGCCGAGCAGAGCAGTGCCAGAGAAGGAAAGGCCCTGGGGGCCCTGGCCCATGCTGGACCAGGAACCCCAAAACTGGCTCACAAAGGGGGACCAGGGCCTGTCGGATAGACCACAACCCCCAGAAACATCAGGAGGCCAAATGCTGGCCCTGGCCCAGAAACTTTCTCAGCCCAATGGCCCAGGCCAAACCCATGACAGAGGCTCTGCATTCCCGCAGGCCTGAACCCTGCTGCCAGCACAGTGGCAGCACGGGTAGTGAGATGCTTCCTTTCCCCAAAACCACTGAGGCATGCCAGCAGCAGGGAAATAGAAGCCTTCCCCAGCAATGCCATCTGGGGTCTGTCTTCCATCCGCTTCATGGCATCACCCCCACCCCCTCCGGGCTGGGGATCAGAGGCAGGGCTCTCGGGATGCACCTGCCCCCCCATGCCACTAGGACGCAGGAGAGGCGGCAGCCTCCATGGGACAGCAACCAAAACACCACCCCCCAAACCACCGAGCTTGAAAGCCGGCAGCCGGGCTGCCGCAAGAGTCAGCTGGCGGGCAGCCCCCGCTCCACCGAAGGAGAGACCCGCGGCCGGGGCAGCTGCTGGGGCGGCCGGTTCAGGACGGTCCGGGCTCGAACCAGCCGCCGGTGCCATGGCAGTCTCTGACGCCGACACGGAGGACAGAGCCTCCGACAACGCCAGAGCCGCTGGAGCGGCCAGTCCGAGCGGCGAGGGGGGGGCCGGAACTGGGGAGGGAACCGCGCTGAGAGTGGGATCAGCCGCGGGCTGCTCGGAGGGTCCCGCAGGTTCAGCGCCGTTTTCAGCCCCATCCTGAACAGGAACTGTCTCGCCTTGAGGCGGCGGGGATGCGCGGGAACACGCTGTTGCTGCGTCCCTTGGCTCTGAAAGCGGCGGCAGGCACGGCACAGGCAGCAGCGGAGCCGGGAGAAGCGGCGGAGCATCGCTGTTGCTTAGCAACAGCTCAAGCACAGGAAGTGCTGTCTCTTCTGCCTTCTCCGACGCTGAGCCGGAAGCTGGAGACGCATCCTCGTCGTTGCCTAGCAACAGCTCAGGGGGCGGGGAGGCCGGTGAAACCGCGGGCGGGACAGCCTGGAGAGGCGGAGACGGGATCTCCTGGAGAGGCGGAGCTGGCAGGACCGGAGAAACCTCAGAGACCGGTGCCGCCCCCATGTCTGAAGGCGGAGTCTGAGAGGCCGGCGCTGGCTTGAGCGGCCACTCCCATCCCCCCGGAGAGAGAGAAGGGGGGGAAGGAGAAAACTCCATCTGAGCATGCTCCGGAGCAAGAGTGAAAAAAACTTCTTCGCCCAGCGAAGTTTCAGCCCCCCCCGCCGCGAAGCAGGGCGGGGGGAAAAGCCCAAAGTCATCACCCACCGGGTCTTCTGCCAAGGAGGGGGGAAACGGTGCCTGGCCATAACAATTAGAAATCCATTGGAAACAAGCTGTTCTGCGTTTCAGAAGTGGGAAAAGCTGTATAAATGCTGGGTAGATAGAAGGCAGGACACGTCCCTGGCTCCAGACGAACTGGAAAATGGAGTCCATGCACTCCCAGACAAAAGCATCTAAAGCGTACAGGACATCAGTAAAGAACCCAAAAAGCTTTGCCCATCTAAAGAATTTATAGAGATCTGTTTCTGACAAAAAGCAACCATCTTCTCTAGACCAATGGTTCCAGAGGGCTATAAGTTTCTCCTCTGAAGGGGAGAATTGAATCTCTTCTGGCAAGGCATGTGTCTGCCATACAAACAGCCACAAGCTACGAAGGGCTGGTTCATCAGGGATAGAAAAGCCCACAGTACCTTTTGAAAGAGTCCAGCTTGCTCTGGCCAGCTCCACAGGTCTGCTGCTCTTTTCCATCATCTTTCCTGACGGTTTTCCAGAAGAAGGTTCTGTTGTGGTTAGCCTTGGCTGTGAACTCTGTCCAAATCAGGATCTTCAGTTCTTGGCTTGAATCCACTTCTGTGGTCGCTTCAAAGCAACCATCAAATGCTACACATACAGGATTTTTACCCAGTGCAGCAATTTTGCTCCTCTGGTCTTATCAAATTAATTTTTGCTCTGACACGAGGGGTCACCAGATGTTACAGCGCCTGAGTGGGTCGCTGCTGGTGAGAGAGAGACGGTGAATCTTGTTGCTTGATCAGAAGGCTGGATTTATTGATATATGATATAAAATACATTATGACTATACTAAATAGAATAAAGAGAGAAGTTGCAGATGCTGCTAAGCTAAGAATAGAAAGGAAAGAATCTCAAACAAAGTTGTGTCCAGGGACTCAGTTCCCTAGCTTGCACTGATGATTGGCCCTTAATTATAAACATGCACATGAGACCAATGACAGAGGCCCCTGTTGCATTCCACAGCAGCTGATAACAACTGTTTACATTCATCTTCTGGGGCCTCTGGCCTCCCAGAAAATGCAGAAATCTGAAAGAAAGGATTTCTGTGAAAAAATGTCTGCGACAGGGTCCCATCTGATTGCTTCTCTCACTCAATTATGACACTGGCTAGAAGTCAAATCTTCAGTTTGGTGTAGAATTTATACAGGGAGACTCACCAAAATTTCCTTAGTGATTTTATGGCATTAGAGTGTTTTTACTCAATAAGCAATAGAGCTGTGCATCCAGAGAAGAAGAGACCATTGCTTTCTTACCTGAGTGTGTGGTGTGCTTTAGCATCCCAGGGCTCTGCCAAGATGCTCACTCCAAAGATTCTGTACCAAAAGTTTGCCTTTGCAAAGGGGCCATGGTCAGCATTGCCACGGACAGCCCATGGACTGGCCCAGTCCCTGCCAGCAGGGATGGTGTGCTGGGAGTGTTTCCATTCTTTCTGGGCTTCCATGCTGGTCTTCAGAGTAAAACACTCATCTCTGAAGAATGTGGTGCATATAGACACATAGATAAATGAAGATGAGAGAGTGATTTTCTTACTTTTATAAAGCAAAAGATAAACTATCACTTTTAAGGACATGATTGTGGTAAGAAACAGGTTTTGGGTCATTTTTCTCCAACAATTGTTTCTGATGAAGAGTTGCTTGTTTGGATTTTGGACTGTTTAAATTGTTCATCCTGTTTAATAAAATAACAAATTTGTATTAAAAGAGGAATCCTTGTGCCTTTCTGTTCAAGGGTGAGTGTTAGGAGCTGTGGCCTGTGGTGTCCAATCCCTGCTGGGGGTTCATTGATAGGTGTGATGGGGGCTTTGCTGCCTTCTCCTGCTGCCAGCTTGGAAGGGAAGCCAGAGGGAAGCCTCTCCCTTGCCCAGCAGCCCAGTTGGATTTGTGGCTCCAGGTTGTTCCAACCTCCCCTGTCCTTTTCCCTTCAGTAACACAAGGGCCGTGTGTCACTGCTGGAGCAACAATGCCATCACATCTCACCTTTCCAAGTGTTTATCAAAAGTAGTCCCTGTCCTGTCTCCTGGGTTTTGCACAGCTGGTTGATGCTCAGAGCCAAAGAGGGGCAGTCTGGGCTGCTGGGCTTCACCATCAGCGTGGATAGGGGAGTGTTTGCCCCAAGGTTTTTGGGTTATTTAGTGCTTGGTTGGACTTTGACAGCTCTGGCATGCCCGTGTTCAGCTGGAAAGAAGGGCTGGGAGCATCCCTGTGCTCAGCAGCTCTGCAGATGAGGATGTGGCTGGATTAAGGCAGTGCCCCTGGTCTTTCAGCACAGTCAGTGACAGTGGCTGTCACTTGCAGGGGGAACCTTTTTTAAGATCTAAGCCTAGCATAAATATTCTTAATATTTTTGGAAAGCTGTTTTCAGGTGTCAGCAGCCCTGACACACAGCTGGTATTAACTACTGGGGGCAAGAGAAAGGGAACAGGTTTAAATACAGTTCCTGGGAAATAAGCATTGGAATAACTTCCAAGATCAGTTTTACCCCTACTTTGCTGCCTGTAATTTTCCCTAAAAATGCAAAAGATAAACAGTTAACTCCAGCGTCTCCCCTCAGCCGAAGCGCTCCGTCGCCCTTTGCCTGCCCTGGTGCCGGCGTGCGCGGGGCGGGCCGGGGCGGGCCGGGCGGGCCCGGGCCAGCGGGGCGGGCGCGGAGCGGCAACGACGGCGGCGGCGGCGGCAGCGGCGGCATGGAGCAGGCACGGAGAATCTTCGAGGGACCCAAGGTGGGCTGGCGGCGCTGCCGGAGGCGCAGGGCCGGGAACGGGGCGTGCACCGGCACCGAGGCGCTGCGAACGGGAGCGAACGCGGCGCGCCCGGGGCTGAAGGGCCGTGCCCGGTTCGGGGGTGTCATGCCCGGTACTGAGGTGCCGTGCCCGTGTCTGAGGGGCCGTGCCCGTGTCTGAGGGGCCGTGCCCGGGGCTGAGGTGCCGTGCCCGTGTCTGAGGGGCCGTGCCCGCGTCTGAGGGGCCGTGCCCGGTTCGGGGGTGCCATGCCCGGTGCTGAGGTGCCGTGCCCGTGTCTGAGGGGCCGTGCCCGGTTCGGGGGTGCCATGCCCGGTGCTGAGGTGCCGTGCCCGTGTCTGAGGGGCCGTGCCCGGTTCGGGGGTGCCATGCCCGGTGCTGAGGTGCCGTGCCCGGTGCTGAGGTGTCGTGCCCGGTGCCGAGGCGGCCGCTCCTGCTCCCCGCAGCCCGGGGCTGCCCCGGCCGGAGCTGCGGCCCGGCCGTGCCCTCTCTGGGAATGTGCCCCGGGTCAGCGCTCGGTGCCCCCGCTGTCACCCCGCGGTCCCGGCCGGGCGCTGCGCTGGCCGGGCCCGGTGCTCCCCGCAGCCTGTGGTGCTGTTCAGATCCTTCACCAGCTGTTGAGATCCCAATACAATGTGTGTGCTCGTGCTTTCTCTACAAATAAATCAGAAGGTTTGGGGTGTGAGAGCACATGCACATGGAGCTGTGTACTGAGGAACAGAGAGCTCTGGAAGGAGCACTGGACTCCTGCATTCACCTGATTTCTGCTTGCTCAGGCATCGTCCCCTGGAGCCACAGCTCAGAGAAAACTCTTTCATCCTTATCTGGGTACTTTCTTTGGCTTAAGGCAAGGTCATGTAACCCGTTTGTATGTGGAAAAGACTTGTGCCTTGTTTACCCGAAACAAACACAGCAGGAAGAGAGCTGCAATGTAATCTGCAGGGAGCAGCCTCCCACGGACCTGGAAACCCTCAAGGTTTGTGAGCAAGGTGCCCAGGGGCAGATAAAGTGCTGGGTTTTGCCTCTGCTGATTGCATCTTTATCTGGAGGCCTGTAGGCACTTCCATCTGCTCTTGGATGTCCTTTGGCCATCTACACAGCATAGGAGAGTTCAAACTCTGCTCTCAAGCACTGATCTGGCAGAAAGCCAAAACTTTTTGGGTTGAGCAACATTGCACAAGGGTTTCTTAGCACTTGGTTTAAGTGTCTCCAGACCCAAAAAAAAGGCTGGCAGGGGACAAAGAGCCTGTTGCTGGTATTGGAGAGGCACTTGCTGCTTTACAAGCATGGCACCTGCAGAAGAGGCAGGAGGAGGTGACTTACATAGGTGAAGGTGCCATGGAATCTGCTTTCTCACTGATGGGAATGTCATGTTGGGATGTTCTTGCAGGAAATACTTGAAAAGTGTTTGAGGTAGAAGACCTCAACAGGTTCAGGTTGCTTTGATTTTAAATCCAATGTGAGGAAATTTCAAGCCTGTAACTCCATCAGAAAGACTTGAGGGCTGTTGAATACCTCAAGGAGTGGATCTTGCATGGTTTTGAAATAAGAATTGGAGCTCAAGAGTGGAAAACATGCCAGGCATCTACATCTGGCAATGCAGACCATGTTTGTATGCTGTTATTTTATTTGCTGCTTTGCAGGACACTTAGTCCTCGTAAGCAGGATTGCATAACTCAAGGAGAGGGGAAAGATCAGGTTTTGCCCTTCTAAAAATCTTCCTCTGTGTAGGTTGAGCTGGTATCTTGAGGGTAGGAGCAGTGGCAGGGGTGTGTTTTTACAATCTGCTGTCAGTGGTGGCTGTGGGTGTATCCCTGACCCTGGACCAGCTGATTGCCACCAGCAGTTTGATCTATGCTCAGCCTGCCCCAGCTGCGTTTTGCACCCAGCAGTGTTTGGGTGGCAGCTTGGTGGCCGTCATGAGGGGGTGGCCTGAGCCCCAGCCCTGTCCCTGCCCTGCCTTTTGCAGCAGGAGCGGCCAGTGGGAGCCCTGGCAGTGAGGCAGGCGCTGTGCCTGCAGGGCAGGTGTGCAGGGTGTGTGTGGGCATGGAGTGAGCTCCTGGGCACCCGTGCAGCCCCAGAGATGGGCACTGCCAGCCCTGTGCCAGGAGCTCACCTCACCTGCTCCTGGGCACTGGCAGGCACTGCTTACTCAGTTTTCTCCCAGCTCCTTGGTAGTTATTGTTTGATATCTGCCCTGACACCAGAGGGTTTTTGGGTTGGAATTAGTAACCCTGGGTAGGTCAGTTATCCATGCAAATATCCAGTCCTCTTCTGAGTCCTACTCCTTTCTTACCCTTGGCACCTGCAGCTCTCATCTATGCAGGAAAATGCACGGGTGTTATAACTAAATGTCCATGATGTTATAACTTAAAAGATCCTTCTGTTTTAAGTTTCTAATCTACAGTTTCATTTAAAAATACAGTAAAATCAAATATGTACTTTGTAAGCTATTCTGTTACCTTAAAGAAAACAGTTCTGGAAAGATGGATATCTAGCTGAAACATTTTACAGCTAATATTTTCCTTCCCAGTTCGACTTCCAAATCACATTTGTCATGTTCCTCTGAAAGCCCCAGCTGGCTAATGGGAAAAGCTTGCTTTTGCTTTTCTGGCTCTCCTTCTCCAAAATTCAAAGTTTCAACAATAATGGGGAAATAGGGCTTCAGAGTGAAAAGACATGAGTTACTGTACTATTTTTAATGGGTAAAAATTTAAGTGTGTTATTTTGAAACCTTGTTATCTCTATGGGGCAACTTGTTATCATTATTTTTTTACAGCACCTTTGTGACCCCTTGTGTAGGATTAGAGAGCCTCTAAACCCTGATAATACCATGTAACTAACAACCCATCAGGAGCTGACTCTTGGAACTGAGGTCAAAGTTTTCATGTAATGACTCTTAGCAAATTAATTAGGGTTTGGCTTCCTGTGATTTCAGGGAGGAAGTGTGCTGGAAAGTCAAGGTGTCTGGAGTTTGCTTTTTTCACTCCTCCTGAACTCTAAATAAGGATAGGGCAGTTCCTCAAAATTACTGTAAATAGGATAAATTTCTAAAGATTCATTAAATGTGTGAGCTGCAGCAAAATACTTAGACAATACATAGATACTGAAAAATAAATTTCATAATGATTATATTTAAAAAATGTTGATGTGTCATGACTTTGTCCCTGTCTTGGGTACATTTATACCCATTTGAGCACCAGTTACTTCTGTCTGAATTATTGTTGCAGCTCAAGAGTGCCTGACCCATTTCTCCCATTGCAGGTGGAGCTTCACGTCCACCTGGATGGAGCCATCAGACCAGAGACCATCCTGTACTTTGGCAAGTGAGTTGTGGGGGGAGATCAGCTCTGGGAGCTGCAGTGCAAAGGCATCCTCCCTTCTGCTGCTGCTGTCTGTGACAGAGGAGCTCCTGAGGCAGCAAACCTGGCTGCTGCTGCTTCTGGCTCTGCCCAGACCTGCCCAGTGTGAGGGCACTGAGCACACCCCAAAAGACAGGGGGGCTTCCCAGGCAGCAGGAATGGGACTGAGGTGGGTTTGGGAGCTGGGCAAGCTCAGAGGAGCACTATGAGAGAAGTGCAGAAGATGTCTCATAAAGAGCTGCCAGCCTTTGAAATGTACCCATGACACAGCAGAGGTGCTGCAGTCTCATTTCTTTTTCCACATTCCTCCTCACAAGGCCAAGTGGAATGGCAGCAGGCTGGGAGTGTTGTGTTGGTGGTGGTGCTGCTGCTACATGGTTTGGGAGGAAAAGCCAGCTTGGGTGGCCTTGCCTGCCCTGCTGCCATGGGCATTTGAATCCCAGGCTGTGTGCCTGGTGCAGCAAGCAGGGAGTCTCACTGGTGTGGGGCTGGCCCAGGGAAGCACCTGGCAGGGGTTCAGAGAGAGGTTGTTTCCCTGACAGAGCCCACGTGCATCTTCCTTCAGTGTGGGTTGTGTGGGAAGCACGGGGTGAATGATTAACCTGTGCCAGGGCCTGGCTCCACATTTGTAGGCAAAACAAACAAGATTTCCTCCAGCTGTCACTGATACTCTCACACCAAGAAGGTGGCAATGGTAAGGATTTCAGTAAATGGCTCTTAGGCACAGCTCTGGTATTTTGGGGAGGAAGTCAGTTCTGGTACTTTGGGGAGGAGGATGGGAACTTGTTCTAGCATCCTGTGAGCCCAGCAGATTGCAAGGCAGTGCAGTCCTAGGGAGGACTGTTCTTTCTGCAGCCCTGGCCATACTTTTTGCTGCACTGTCAGAGAAAGGAGTGTGGGTCAGGGCTGTCCATCCCATTTGCTTGCTGGATGCTGGCATGGTGAGCTCAGGGTTCCTGCTGCTGGGCTGCAGGGCTGGAATGCAGCTCCAAGTGAACAGGAGAGCTGGTGCTGACTCCCTGGGGCTGTGCTGGGTCCCTCTGCCTGCAAACAGAAAATGCCAGTGTAGTGCCCTAGGGGAATTGCAGGAGCCCTGACACCCAGGAGGCACTGGCTGTCTGGGGATCCTGTGCCAGGATCCTTTCTTAGGGCAGAAACCTTCATTGCCTGAGCGTGTGCTGAGCTCCCTCTTATTTTTAAACAGCCCTGGCACCCCCTGAGCTGCCAGCCCTGGGGTGGAGCAAGGCTGTGCTATTCATGGGCTCTGAAACTTGCACTCACACACAAACCTCTGGGGCAGTGCAGAAGGCTGTAGGGGACTGACTGCCTTCATAACCTCAGCCTGGGTAGGAAATGCTGCTTGTGGTCTATTTTTAAAGGTAAAGAGCTGGACATAATTTTGCTGGGTGGTGTTTGACCGTGTAGACAGAAGCCCAAGCTGCTGGGATGCACAGGCCCCCATGGGCAGTGCACTGCTGAACTGAGCTGTTTCTAGAAACCTTGTCTCCAATTCTGTCAGGTCTGGGTCAGCCTTTGCATCATTCCTGCTCAGCCAGAGGGCTCAGAGGTGTGACAGACCCCTCGTGGGGCCTGGGTGTCCCCAGGAGAGGTGCCCTTTCTGTGGTGGCACGGTGTGCACGGTGCTGCCCGTGGCTGGAGGGAGCTCTGGGCAGGACACCGAGGTGGCAGTGAGGACAAACACGTTCCCCTCTGGCGACTTTGCTGCAAGAAGGATCCCACCTACAAGGAGGGGCAGCAGCAGCCCCAAAAGCCACACTGGCATGATGCACCAGGTCTCCCCATGCAGAGGCGTGGTTCCAGTGTGGATCATCCCAAAGCACTGCCACTGGTGCCTGCAGGAAGGCACTGCCTCAGCAAGCACATGGAGCAGGTCAGGGAGGTGGCTTTGCTGTAGGAAACTTTGCTGGGGCAGGTGGAGGAAGGTGCAGGTCGGCTCCTGGAGCAGAGACTGAGGTGTGAGTGCCATGGAAAGGGCAAGGCAGGGAGGAAAACCGATGCCTTGGCAGCAGTGAGTGTTCCCTGCAACTTAATCTGTGCAGATTGCATGTGAGGGCTGAGCATGGGGCTGCTTTCCTTGCTGCCTGAGTGGGGCAGGAGCAATGTTTTCCAAGGCCAGGAGCAGGGTCCTTTGGACTGTGTCCCTGCATGGCTCATGGGGATGGCTGCTGGCAGGGCAGCACTGCAGCTGGCTCTGGTGTTTTGTCTCTATTAGCAGAGCTCTCCCATCAGTCAGCTGTAATTCATTGTGGCAGGAAAGGGGATTAAAAACAAATGTCTGGTTATTATTTCAAATTTGTTTTGGCTTGTGCAGGGTACCAGAGGGTGGGGAGATGGCAAAGCTTGCCCAGAGAGCTGCAGCACCCTTGGCTGGCAGCTCCCTGCTGTATCTCAGCTGTCCCCTCACCAGGAACACCTTCACCCACTCAGAATTCCAGCTGCTCCTGGGAAAGGTGGCTCTTCCCTCTTGGAGGCATTTACGTGGGGATTAGTGTGTGTGTCCCTTCAGTGAGAGCAGTTGTTGCCCTTTGTTCCTGTGTGAGAGCTGTTCCTGTCACTGGAGATGCCACCAGGATGCTGGGCTCAGGAAGCAGCTCCCTCTCAGGAGCTGCTGGCACTAAACCCATGGGCCACAACACTTCTGCCGGTGTGATCCCAGGCCCTGGAGCATCTCCTTGGTTTTTTAATCCTTTGAGCCTGCATGAATGGAAAACTCTTCTGAAGAATTTTGACAATTCTGCTGCGAGGTCTAGGAGGTGCCAAGAAATAATCCAGAGCCCCTTTAGATGAACTCCTTCTTAAGCTTAAAATGTGCCGTGGCTGTGTTCCTGCTGGGTCAGCCTGGGCTTGTATTTGGGTTTGTTTGTGCTTTGCCTGTGTTTTGGATTGCCTTCCTCTCTGCTGATGTTCAGGGCTCCATCCGTGAGGAGCTTTTGGAAGGATAGGGTGTGCTGGATCTTTCCTGTGAGGAGATGATGGTTGATGCTGCCAGCTTTGGATGCAGTTGGTGTGTACAATGGGCTGATTAAAAATGGGATAACCTTCCCTGTCAGTAACATGTGGCTTTGTTTCCAGGAAAAGAGGCATCCCTCTCCCTGGGAACACTGTTGAGGAGCTCATGAAGCATGTCAGCTGTGACACACCACTGACACTTGCCCTGTTTCTAGAGAAATTTAATTACTACATGCCTGCCATTGCGTAAGTACCCTGCTTTCTGCTTTTCCCCCCTCAACCCCTGTCAGGATCAGCCTTGGAGGTGCCCTGTGGGCCCTGAGGGTGACAGTGGCACTGCCATCCCTGCAGGGGTGACCGTGAGGCAGTGAGGAGAATTGCCTACGAGTTTGTGGAGACCAAAGCCAAGGAAGGAGTTGCCTATGTGGAGGTTCGGTACAGCCCTCACTTCCTGGCCAACTCTGGTGTGGATCCCATCCCCTGGGGACAAGCTGAGTGAGTGATCCTGGGGAGCTGGGAGCTGCTGGGTGGGCATGGAGAAGGCATCCCCATGCCAGTCAGCCACTGTGCCTTCAAAGGCTGCTGTAGCAAACCTCCTTTCTCCTCCATGCAGTGAGAGCCAGCATGCCTCCACCTCTCCCATCAGCAGAGTTTTTCACCTTGAACACCTCTGTGTGCTGCAGTGTTTTAATGTCCCTTGCTCTGGGCACTGAGTTCTGTGCTCAACCTTCTGGCTGAAGGCCTTCCCTGTGAGAGGGAAAGGAATGTGCCCATAGGGACTGCCTGACACAGAATGGAGTTTGAGCTGGCAGAGGTGGTGGCTGGTGTTGGAGGGGGCTGCTGCTCTGATCCCTTCCTCTCATGACATCCCCTCTGTGGTATGTGCCTCTCATTAAATCAGTGCTGGGCTCTGGGGCCCCTGCAGAGTGTGCTGTGGTGGGTGCAGAGCCCTGGGCTTGCAGAGAATTGTGTGCTCCAATGAGATGCTCTGGCAAAGAGGGGATTGCTCTGCTCAGGCAGGATGGACACCCAGTTCCCCAAGGCCTTTCTAAATCTTGGTGTCATCTGTGCCTGCTGCAGTGGCCCAGGGGTTACACCTGTACCAGGTAAATGTGGCTGTGGCAGGGCTGTAAAAGGGCTCTGGGTGATCTCCCTGGGCAAGTGGAACCTGGGGCAGCCTGTCCTGCTGTGGGGCTGCTGGGCTGGACCTGCCTGCCTCCCTGGCAAGTGTGTGGCCTCTTGCTGATGGCTTTTCTTCCCTGCAGGGGGGACCTCACTCCAGATGAAGTGGTTCAGCTCGTTAATCAGGGACTGAAGGATGGAGAGAGGGATTTCCACATCAAAGCCAGGTCTATTCTATGCTGCATGAGCCATATGCCAAGTAATGTATTGCAGCTGCCCTGCTGCTCTGCTCCCTTCCCTGAGGGGTGGGGGGATGTCCCTGGGGCTGGGGCCCTGCAGGATGTGGAGAGAGCCCCAGTCTGTGGGGCTGGTGCAGCACCAGTCAGTGCTGGGGGTCTCTGGGGGTCTCTGCTCCTTCACTGTAGGGCAAAGCTCTGCTATATGCAGGAGTGGGGGTCTGTGGGTACAACCAGTATCCTAACTGGTTGTGCCTTGCTAGAGAGACAAAAGGGGCTCCTCTGTGCTCTCCTGGGGCAGCTGTGGTCTCTGCTCCCTGCCCAAAGGCCAGGAGCACCCAAGGGTGTGTGCAGCCTGCACTGCCCTGCAGGAGGGATTGCTGCTGCAACCAGCAGAGGTGGCATTCTCATACCTGTGTCCCAGCTGATACCCAGATCCAATGGTGTGCTTGATAAAAGTCTTTAGCAGTGCATTCAGGATGTGCTGCACACTGAGAGGCCACCCTGTAATTAATGAACTGATGAGAGAAAGGCAGAGATACCAGCCAGAACTGACTCATATTAAGTTTGTTAATAAAAGAATGACTCTAACCCAGCAAATTACAAAATGGTGGAAAAACTAGATGATGAAGTTGCACACATCATCCTGGTGTGTTCATATGATTTGGGGATTTTCTGTACACAGCAGGTGCCTGTCAATTATTAACTCAAATGTTTCTCTCTGTTTCTTGGCCTTCTGCAGTGGTTAAGTGCTATGTGAGGTGGTAGATGCAGTCTCTCTCTCAGAGGATATCTGTCCTTATCACAGAGCTCTCAAGCAGCTGTTGGCCACTTGTTAGTCTCTTTGTCCCTGCTGGCAAATAGATAAAATTTCAGCTCCTTCCTATCAGGAGTAGAATCCTTGGGAGAGTCAAGGATGCAACAGGACAGGGATGGCTGCAGCACAGGGCCCCCCAGAGACCCTTCCCAGCCCAATCTCCTCCCTGGCACAGCTCATCTGGTGGGGCAGTTCCAGCCTTTACCCTCACCCTGCCCAGCCAGGGAGGGGATGAGAGCTCAGGAGTTGGGGGATTTCTCCAACACATCATGTTACAGCCCCAGGGCAGTGCAGTTCATCTTAACCTCCAGCTACTACAGCAGTCACCACTGCTTGGAATTTTTTAAATTAATTTTCCCCTGCTTGAAGTGAGCAGAAAAACATGATGGGAGCAGTTTAATAGCTGGTGAATGCATTTAATTTCCCTTTCACTGACAACAGACTGATCAGTTGACAGCTTTTATCTGCCTGAAGATCAGAGAGATGACAGACCTTCCTAGGAGTTTGCTAGCTTTCTTTTTGAGCATCAAATTTTGGGAAAGACTAAAGAAAATAGCTCTTGCCCTCTAGTTATAGAACCAGGATTTGTTTAGAAAGATGCTGAAGGGCTGACCCTATGAATGCTTCCTCCTGAATGCTGCTGCTGCCTCTCCCAGGCTGGTCTCCAGAGGTGGTGGAGCTCTGCAAGAAGTACCAGAATGACTCTGTAGTGGGTGTTGACCTGGCTGGAGATGGGACTCTGACGGTGGAGGATTATGCTGAGCATAAGAAGGCTTATGAGGTTTGTGGAATAAGATTTTAAAAAGAAATTACTAGAAGAATATATATTGAGGGGGTGTGGGTGAAGGGATGCTTTTCAAACTGTAAAACAGCTGGGACAGCTTATAAATTCATTGCAGCTATTAAAAACATTCAGTTAAATAGAAAAAGCATTTGTTTATATTTCCTAAGTGATTAATGGCAGGCATCATTGCTAAAACATGGCCTCAAAGCTGGGGCTTGGCACTCTGTGAGTGTGACATGAGTTCCATGGAGCCCAAAGCAACCCCCACCCCTCTGCTGTTGGCTCCTGGGGCTTGGTGAAACCACAGCCAGGGGTGGAAGAGACTGGCCTTTCCAGTCTGGCAGAAATGACTGAGGAGCAGAGCAGAAACTGCACATTTGCAGGGCTTTTATCTGATCATCTCAAGTGCAAACACTGGAATGGCTTCAGGAGCCTGATCCCAGGCTCTCCCCAAACCTCAGCCTTTGCAGTGGCTCCAAGGGAAGGGAAAGCCTCTCTGTAGCCAAAAATGTAGAAGTTCCATAGCATGGAACTGCTGCATGTTTCATGCAGAAAGACTGGTGAGTGGAGGAAGAGGAGCTCAGAGCTTGCTGCTGTCTGGAGAGGAGGCAGTGGTGAACTCAGCCAGGGTTAAAAGCCCGTGAAGAGCCTGTCTGGGCTCCAGTGGAAGATAACCAGGATTTTTAAGTGTCTCTGTGTGTGACATACAGAGCTCTTGCAGCCCTTGGAGCGCAAGGCTCGTGATCTGTGGGCTCTTGGCACAGGAGCCTTGCAGTGAGAGCAGTGCCAGCCCCAGAGCTGGCTGTCCTTGCTGCAGGGATGGCACAGGAGGATGTTGTCCCTTGTTTTGCAGGAAGCTGAGAGGTGTGGGATCCATCGCACCGTCCATGCTGGGGAGGCTGGCCCGGCTGCCATGGTCAAGGAGGTATGAGGAGCTCCTGCCTCAGGGCACAGAGGCATCCATGTTGTCCCCAAATCCATAGCAGAGGGAACCCTGGGGACATGGGCACAGATCTGACCCGATGGCTGGAAAGGGACATGCCAGGGGCCAGCTCGGTGGTGTGGCTGTACCTGCAGTGGGATGGGGGCTCTGGGCAGGCAGGGCTGAGCTGTGCCTGAGGCTCTGAGTGCTTCTCCTGTGCTCTCTAGGCAGTTTATGTCCTGAAGACCGAGCGTGTTGGCCATGGGTACCACGTCCTGGAGGACCCTGAGCTCTACAAGCAGCTGCTGAAAACAAAGATGCATTTTGAGGTAAGGATGTGCCATGGGACTGTGACAGCCAGGGAGATGCTGAGAGGAAAACAAGCACTCACTCAGGCTGTTCTACAGCCAGAGACAGGACCTGACACCCAGGTGCTGACCATGTGTACAGTGATGTTGTGTTTATGCCCAAAGCTGCACAGGAAAAATGCTGGGGACAAATCTGTGTGTCTGCTGGGAGCACTGGTGTGCGCAGCAGCTTGTGGGAGGGATGCAGCAGAGAGAATGGATCCTTGTGTGGCCATGGATGAATTCTGGAGGGGTTATTCACTGATTTATACACCTCAAGCCTGAAGGCTCATCCTTCCACAAATCAGGCTGCTGTACCAGAACAAGTCAGGTTAGTGGGTAGGAATGCCTGGGAGTTACAGTGCACGTAAGGAATTCTTTTGCTTTTCCCCAGAACGGGGATATCCACTAATAGAGGGAATACGTACTTAATGCAGGTGGTTTTGTAGCTGTGATTGGCACAGGGCTGGTGACTGACTGGCCATGGGGAACATCCCACAGCCCTGTCACAGTGCTGTGGGCTCCTTGCATCCCTGTCCTGGGACACACAATGGTCTGTCAGAGCAGTGCTGAGGGGCAGCTGTGAACAAAGCTCTGATCTGGTTTTACCAGTGCTGAGCTATCTGTGTCCACAGCTGGGGTTCAGATGCATGTGGTTGATTCTGGTTTTCCTGCTCAACTCCCCCAAACAGGTCTGTCCTTGGTCCAGTTATCTCACTGGGGCATGTCCTCCGGACTTCACCAAACACCCTGTAATACAGTAAGACTTCTCAATTATGTGAAATCTCAAATAACCAGGATTGGGGTTGTTACAGCTGCTTTATTGCTTTACATAGCTCAGGCACAGTGTCCTAATTATGTAGGACAATGTGGCACATCCATGTACCTTGGCACAGGAGAGCCTGGTGCAGCTGGAGGGGTGTGGGGGTCCCTTGGGGATGCTCCCCTGTCTCTCCTGCCCTGCTCTGAGCTATGGGGCACGAGAAGCTACAGCCCAGCCACTCCTGGCAGGTCAGTGCAGAGCCATGAGGGGACAAGCTGAGCCCTGTGCTTTTCTCCAGGAGTCCCAAAGTCTTTGCTTTTGCTGCATTTCACCCTGAGAAGTGCACAGTATCACAGCCAGTGCTCTGCACACCAGTTCAACCTGATTTCCTTGCAGATTTAAGAAGGATCGTGCCAACTATTCTCTAAACACAGATGACCCCCTGATCTTCAACTCCACCCTTGACAAGGACTATGGCATTGTGAAGAAACACATGGGATTCACTGAAGAGGAGTTCAAGAGAGTTGTAAGTCAGCCTTGGCTGGGTGCTCTGCTGGTGTGTCAGTGCAGCCCAGAACAACCTGCTGGTTTTATTTATAAGCTGAAGAGTTTTTAATGGGAAGCAGAAAATTCCGCTCTGGCCTTGTAAGCAGGAAGGTAGGACCAGGCTCAAAGTACATCTCCCAAAAATTCCAGAGTATTTAAAGGCCTTTGCTTTGTGCTGGTCTCATTTCTCCTGGGACTGCTGCTAGTGGTGGGCCAGAGCAGTTGGCATCAAATAAGGCCATGGCAATGAATCTGAGAGTGGAAACTTTACGCCCTCCCTTGCCTGTTGCTGCTCAGAGCCAGGTGCTGGGATGTGCACAGCTGTGTGTTCATGTCTGATGTGTCCTAATGCCCCTGTGTTCCCCCTCTGCTTCCTCAGAACATCAATGCAGCCCAGTCCAGCTTCTTACCCGAGAAGGAAAAGCAGGAGCTGCTCAGCAAGCTGTATGAAGCCTATGGGATGGTGCCCAATGCATCCTGACCTGTCCCTGGAGCCAGCCTGGAGTGGGGCCCCTCTGCACAAGAGCCTGGCTCTCCTGTGTGCCAGTGGGAGCACTGGCAGGGGGTGCCCAGAGCCAGCCTCTGTTGCTGGCAGCCCTGTGCTGACCCTCACAGTGCCCATCAGAATCAGACCATCAATCACACACACCTACCTGTAGCCCACAGTGTCTCCTGAATGGATCTCCAGCTTCCTGTCCTGCTGCTGTGCGAGCAGACTGGTTCTGCCTGCTGGCCTGCCTCCCTTCTCCATCTGCTGGGCTTTCTGTGCTGCAAATGCAAACAGAACAAACTCCCTTAGGGGTTTTTTCCTTCCCTCTTTCCCTGTTTTACCTGTCCTGTCCCACTGACCTGCCTGGCCCTTGCCTCAGTGCTGAAATATCCACTTTGAGCTCTGGCTGTGGCCTGGCTTAATTCACCTTTCCAGGGCAGAGGCGTGCTAGTGCTGGCAGCCCTTTCAGACACAGAGGCTTTATTCTTGTCCCTGTGTGTGGGAGGGCCTGGTCTCAGCTCTATTTACCCAGGGTTAGTCTTGTACTAACAAGACTGGAACAAGAACAAGCCGCAAGCTGCCGCCCCTGCCAGTGCACAAGTCCAAAGGGCATTTAATACAAAATACAATTTTGTTTTGCATCCATTCTTGCAGAGAACTCCCATGTATCAGGCCTGCCAATGTCACTGCTGCAGAGTGCACACCTTGGGCTCAGGCCCCAGCTGTGCTCACAGCTGGCCATGACCATGCTTGCACATGCAGGGCAAGTTGGGACATAATTTTACCACTTCAGGCCAAAATCTGCCTTCTGGGATCTTCCCCACTTTTTTAATCTTGGAGAACTCCTGTGAACTGCAGTTTGATCTTCCTCTTACCTTTGTTTAGGGCTTGGAAAAAGCATGATTGATTGCCTGGTTTAACAATTCTGCCCTCTTTCTGATTTGACTCAATCATTAGGTACTCTAAAGGCTGAATAAGTAAATTAACTTGGACCCAATGTCACACATTGACTCGGGTCCCATCTGATTGCTTCTCTCACTCAATTATGACACTGGCTAGAAGTCAAATCTTCAGTTTGGTGTAGAATTTATACAGGGAGACTCACCAAAATTTCCTTAGTGATTTTATGGCATTAGAGTGTTTTTACTCAATAAGCAATAGAGCTGTGCATCCAGAGAAGAAGAGACCATTGCTTTCTTACCTGAGTGTGTGGTGTGCTTTAGCATCCCAGGGCTCTGCCAAGATGCTCACTCCAAAGATTCTGTACCAAAAGTTTGCCTTTGCAAAGGGGCCATGGTCAGCATTGCCACGGACAGCCCATGGACTGGCCCAGTCCCTGCCAGCAGGGATGGTGTGCTGGGAGTGTTTCCATTCTTTCTGGGCTTCCATGCTGGTCTTCAGAGTAAAACACTCATCTCTGAAGAATGTGGTGCATATAGACACATAGATAAATGAAGATGAGAGAGTGATTTTCTTACTTTTATAAAGCAAAAGATAAACTATTACTTTTAAGGACATGATTGTGGTAAGAAACAGGTTTTGAGTCATTTTTCTCCAACAATTGTTTCTGAGGAAAAGTTGCTTGGATTCTGGATAGTTGATTTTTAATCCTGTTTAATAAAATAACAAATTTGTATTAAAAGAGAAATCCTTGTGCCTTTCTGTTCAAGGGTGAGTGTTAGGAGCTGTGGCCTGTGGTGTCCAATCCCTGCTGGGGGTTCATTGATAGGTGTGATGGGGGCTTTGCTGCCTTCTCCTGCTTCCAGCTTGGAAGGGAAGCCAGAGGGAAGCCTCTCCCTTGCCCAGCAGCCCAGTTGGATTTGTGGCTCCAGGTTGTTCCAACCTCCCCTGTCCTTTTCCCTTCAGTAATAGAAGGGCTGTGTGCCACTGCTGGAGCAACAATGCCATCACATCTCACCTTTCCAAGTGTTTATCAAAAGTAGTCACTTTTTTTTCCTTTCTCCTGGGTTTTGCACAGCTGGGTGATGCTCAGAGCCAAAGAGGGGCAGTCTGGGCTGCTGGGCTTCACCATCAGCGTGGATAGGGGAGTGTTTGCCCCAAGGTTTTTGGGTTATTTAGTGCTTGGTTGGACTTTGACAGCTCTGGCATGCCCGTGTTCAGCTGGAAAGAAGGGCTGGGAGCATCCCTGTGCTCAGCAGCTCTGCAGATGAGGATGGGGCTGGATTAAGGCAGTGCCCCTGGTCTTTCAGCAGTGACAGTGGCTGAGCTGGCTGGCACTTGCAGGGGGAACCTGATGCCTCTCACCCAGCCCCTGAGAGAAGCTGGCCAACAGCTCCCTACTCCTCTGCCTAAATATAATTCTGAAACAGATATTTTCTGACCAGGGAGAGCTAAGATTAGCCCACATTTGACTGTTGGAGGTCTGTGTGGTGCTCAGTTCTTCTGCTCTGCCTTTCAGCTCTGTGTGTGTGTCAGCATGAGCCAAGATTACTGTTGTGTGGTAAGGAGAGCTGGAAATGGGTCTTAAAGCCACAGCTATGCAGTCAGCCAGGTCCAGGAGCTCCCTGCTGTTTTGCCCCTGGGCACGGGAAGTGGGAGCAGGCTCTTGGCCACCATCCACGGCTCTGCAGTGACACCCAGCCAGCCCAGGAGCCCTTTGCCAAAGCCTGGCTGCCAACTCCTCATTTCCTGTGGGGGCTGGAGCTGTGGAGCCCTCTGTGCTCACCCTGTGGCCATCGCTTCTCACAGACAATTCTCCCTCTGCCTGGCAGCCACTTCTTTACTGATTTATGGCCTTGTTTAGGTTGATAAGTCTCAGACTTGTAACACTCAGCTCTTCTCCAGGCTGTCAGGGAGATGATTTGTCCCCAGTGGAGTTTCCCAGGTCAGCTGTGCCCTGTCCCTGTGCTGGTGGGTCAGTCCCAGTCAGGCTGCTCCACTGGGATCAGTGGAACACCAGCAATGCTCCTGTAGTTCTGTGCTGCAGAGGGAAAACTCCTCTTCCCACTGGCACCAATCCTGCTGGCTCCTGGGCAGTAAACCTGGGAAAGTGGGGACAGACTTTCATAATCTGTGCCCAGCTACATCTGCCTCCCTCCATGTGCTGCAAACCCCTGGGGCTTCACAGACCTCAATCCATGGGATTCTTCTTGCACAGCTCTGTGTCTCCCTGTGAAACCACCCCACAGCTGAAGGCAAAACAAAGGAAGAAGAAACATCCAGGCAGAAAGAAACCACCTTCAGTACTTGAAGGCTGTGTCATTTATTCCAACAGCTTATGTAGTTTTATCAAACCATCCTTAACACAAAACATGTCTCCTTAAAGACAGAAGGGTGTGAGATCCTACCAGAGATCATCTCAGCTAACAGCTTGCAAAGTTTAGCCTGAATGTCAACAGTCAAACCAGCAAAATGTTTCTCCCCTCCCCTTAATAACATCTTGAAGTGTTCAAACCTGAAGAAGAAGATGCCTGTGGCTGGTGCTGCTGGGTCTCCAGGTGGGGCTGATCCCCACAGAGCTGTGCTTTGGTCCTTTCCTGATGCTAAGCAGCAGCAGCAGCACAGGTGAGTGGTGTTGCCATGAGGGCAGCAGGACAGGCTGGGTCCTTTCCCCACTGCCCACCCTGATGAGGGGCCATGTGGACAATCCAGAGGCCAGGCCTAAGTTGCAGATGAGGGCGAGGCTTAGAAAAACCAAGAATCGAAATTTCTAACCTACGGAAACAGAATAAATAATAGTCTAAATCTGCAAAGGAGGAAGGTACCTTGGACAGGAAAATCTGGTGTCTATTATTAGTGAAACTGTTTTTCTCCTAAGAGAAAATTGCAGCTAAGGCATCTTGAGAATGGCTCATACCACTACAACCATGGCAGTGTTGCTCTAAACCATTAGGGATGGGGGCAGAAGTCTTTTGGAGGTGCCAGTCCTTGCAAGTGTCTTGTGTCTCTCTACACAAGCACGGATCCAGCAGAGGCATTTGACAGAGAACTTGCTGTTCCAGGTTGGTTTTTGTCCACAGATGCACAAATTCTTGTTCAATGTTTACAGCAAGGCCCTCCTTCTGCCCATCCCACACCCTTTTTGCTCTCATGGGGAGGGGCTGCTTTCCTGCCCCTTTGGTCTTGCTCCAGGGTCGTTGTCAGAACTGGCATCTCTTTGGCTTTCTGCAGAAGGGAGGATTGGGAAGAAAGCACAGTTATTACACCCTGCTGAAGACACTTGAAGCCATCAGTGATTGCTACAGATGATTTCATGCAGAGAGACAAAAGACTTTCACCTGAAGATCTATCTCTCCCCTCCTGTGACCAGATACTTGACCCATCCATGAGAGTGTTCAAGGCCAGGCTGGATTGCACTGGGAGGTCTAGTGGAAGGTGTCCCTGCCCATGGCAGGGGGTCTTTAAGGTCCCTTCCAAACCAAACCATTTTCTATGACTCTATGATTAAGAATATTGGGTTCTCCCTCCACATTCCTGGAGTAAAACCACTTCTCAACACACCTGGCAATGCAGAGAGGGAGCCTCAAGATAGGGATGTGCACTCACCCAACTTTCAAGTGCTCCAGAACTGTTTTCCTGACAGCCTGGCAGAGCCTAAGCTGCTCTGGTAAAGCAGCTCCAATTTGTGCTTACTATGGATGGGTGGATGGACACATGCTGGTATGGTCATGCTAAAAGAAGTACAGCTGGGGAAATGAATGTATTTAAAGTGTTTTTATAGTTACAGGTTGTAGGCTAGAGGATTAAGCAAGTAAGGGGGAAAACTGAGTTTCCCTTCTACAGTGACAGTCTATGTTGTGTTGCTCATTAGTGAAATGAGATCTTTGGACAGAGGATTGAAGCTCCTCACAGCCTGAGGGCCAGCAGGGTGATGCCTCTGCCACATCTGGGCTGCAGAGGGGGATTTGGACATGGCTGTTGGTGTGAAAGCTATTTCTGTTGTTATTTGAAATTCTGCAGAACTATTTAAACGTTGATTTTTTGTGTGTGTGTGAGCTCACCTGCTCCCTGCACAGCCAGCTCCCCCATGTCCTGGCTCAGCTGGCGCATGCTGATGGTGGTGGCCTCTCTCTCGATGTCATGGACAGCGTTCCTCCGGCCAGCCCGGTCACAGGAGATGAAGTCAGTGTAGGTGCTGGACTCCACCTCCATTGCATCTCTATTCACTTGCAAAATGCTGTGGAGAAAACACAGCTGTGAGGCCCAGGATGCTCAGCATGGCACCCTCCAGGTTAGGTTACAGCCTGAGAGAACAGTGCCTGTAACTGTGCTCCAGTTCCTCAGACAGCAGGCACTGAAAGGCCAGATATCACCTCCCCCATGTGGGGCAATGTGTGGGGAAACCCACCATGCTGGGTAACCCACTGTGACAGGTGAGGGCAGGTCTTGGGTTTTCTGTGGTTGAAATATCTCTCGAGATATTAAAAAGTCTTTTTTCCCAGCCCCACAACCAAAGAAGTTGACATGCCTCAGCTCTGCTTTTCAAGGTTGCTTATTTTCTCTTATCCATAATATTCTTTCTCTGACCTGCTGAGGTCTGTCCAGCAGGTTGGTTTGTGGCACACTGACTGCCCTTAGGGTGGTGTTAGCTTTTTATACTAAGAACTACATGTACTTTATTTACAATAACTTTCCAATACCTATCAC